TGTGTGTGTGTGTAGTGAGTGCCTAGTGGAGTCGTGTGATAAGGTGGGTGTTCTACATGTGAGTCATGAGTGTGGGCGGTGTGGCTCATCTGGATAAGTGTGAGGCAGTGATGTCGACCAGACACAGCCTCAGACTCTCTCATCATCACCTCCAGCAGGTGCACGGTCTCCAGAATTGACTCCATCACAACACCTCACACCTTGTCGTCGCAGGTGCCACCCTTGCCAATGGTTGAATCATGCAGTGACAGACATGTTCATAAGCACACCCTGTTATGGGACGATAAAGTATAGTAGAGATACTACTATCACACCAGCACATACTAGTATACTAAACTACAAGTCCTTGCCAGATGTTCCTGATCTCCACCAGAAATCAGGAAGGTACGGACTATGTCTTATAGTATAAAGTTGTGTCACTCTAGTATCCAGTGTGTCTTGTCTGACGGGACATAATATGAAGAGTGTGAGGACTTTACCTCTCGGGGGAGAGTTGCTGATGATGGTTCTTCTCTCCATGTGTTTCTTCACTCGCAGTGATTCCTCTTCTCTTTCTCAACCACGATCTCTGTCTCCTCCTCGGGTCTCTTCATCTATTCGTCACAGGAATCAGATTCTTCCTCTCTTCCAGTATAACTCTCCTCTCAAGTGGTCTGTCGATTTTTTGATTTGTGTAGTGGAGCCATCCTCCTCTCCATCATCCTCCACGTGTTACCTGGATTCCTCCTCCAACGACGGAGTCGACTGTCTGTTATAGTTGGCTCTGCTACTGTTTCCTGTGCGAGCTGTCTCAGCTTTGTCTTCGCGAGTGGCCGTGCGCAGTGTGCAGCCAATCTGAGCCGTGTCTTGGAGAGTGGTGCTGTGGTGTGTCACGGCTTAGCTCTAGTGTCGTTGTCGTTGTGCGCAGCATGTGGCTGTACTGTTGTGGTGGCAATACTGATGGTGACCGTACGTGGTGACTGGTCCTGGTGCCACTTGCTCAGGCAGTGTGGAAGGTCTCCGTCAGTCATCAGGACTTTTGCTCCTGTGTGTGTACAGAGAGTCGAGTGATGGTGCTCGCTTTAAGGTCCTATACACGTGACTGAAATCGGCTCTCTGATATGATTTGTGTACTGGCAGTTGACGTTTGAAGTGCTTAGCAGGATTGAACGATCACCCTAGCGTCCTCTATTTCATGCACACAAGAGCTGTCTGTGGGGAGGGTGTGTCGTAGTTTTGATAGCATCTCGTACAGAGGAACACCCACTCTACTCCAATACACCAAAGGACAGTAAGAACGATGTACAGTATACTCCCCTTAAGCGTGAGTCAGTAGTGCAGTGCTATTCTTGGGTGGATAATAAGTGTATACCCAAACGGGTGAACCCCTAATCCAAACACTAAAAGGATGATTAAGAAAGACAGTTTCTTTTATCTGGTTATACATATCCACTTAAGCTTAGTGTCTTGTTTCAATGCCACCCACGAGCTGTCGTGGGAATGGTGCCATACCTACTGAAGTAACACTCCACATCAGTGAAGTGACAATGTGGACACGCATACGAATTGCTGCGTGCAATTTGTTGGCCAGAGCATCTGCTTTCTGTCTGGATGCTTAGTGATGTATGTCATGTGGTATAATACCTTCATCTGTCACTAAATCAACATCACTACACATTATTCGTGAGTCGTGCTGCATGGTAAGTTCGTGCGTACATTATGTGCAAACATCATGATTAGCATCTCACACTAATGTGATAGGGTTCATGTATGTTCGTTAGTCGTGCTCACAATCTGTTTATAACCATGTTTCGTATATACCACCCCTATCTGTCTCCCTTCTTTGTTATATATACTATCCCTCGCTCTGTAAAAAGGTATAGCTCTTCATAGTACGTACCTTGCCATCTCACGGAGGACGGACAGTATCAGGGTCCCTCTCAGCACTCTTTATCTTGAGAGGGGTAGGGGTGCTGGGTGAGAGGGGTTGTAGGGTATGTGCGGTTGGAGCGACATGGGAACCTCTCCAGATCTCGTTAGAGGAGAGGAGTAGTCAGTCAGGAGTTTGTGGGCACTCAGTCCCAGGTGGAGGAGGAGATGGGGTGGTGGGGGGACGGGAGGCGAGATAGAGGGAGGAATGATAATACATATGAGCATGCACTTGGTGTGGTGTTGTACTTTTATTGCAGGGTTGGAACATTCTGCACAGCGGGCAAACCAACATACTATTTTCCCTAACTTCAGGAATCACCCAAGTTGAAAGTTTTGCGATTGGTAAATGTCTGCCAACATGTGTTAGCAAGGCAAAGCAACAAGTAAACTGTGCACCCAGGACAACTCCTTTTTTCAAGGAATAAAAGAAGAAGAGCTGCCCTGGTGGGATTACAACCACGATCACTCTGCTGTCTAGCAAGAGCTCTAGCTACCAGGGCAAACTCAGCTGGTAGTTCGAATCTACAAAGGCAAACCTCAATACCACTGTGTCATGGCACAGTACAACTGCTAATCAGTATGTAGGAGCAGACTGGTGGTAATTAAACCACCAAAGACACCAACTCCAACTGTAATAGTGAAACTGTACTATATGCACCGACACGACATTACATGGGAAGGCATGGCCGCATCCATAAACTGCTCGTCTCATTGTAACTGCATGTCGGACATAGGAGCCTGTGATTGTGCATCAGCTTGCAGAGAGGATGCATGCTGTGTCTATAATGTACTCTGGTCAGTTGATGGTTTTTGTTGTCGTGGTCTGTGTCTGCTCCTGATGAGATAGATGGTCCCTGCAATAATTGATGTGAACATCTCATCAGTAGAGCAAGGAACATGGTACAGAGAGTTAAACTTTAGCAAACCACTCTAACCACTCGAGCTGTATTATGTGTGAGTTTCATGAACATGAACGCAATATACGGCCGTGCAGTAATATAAACACTTACTGCTTCTTCCATTCTTGTAGCTCATGTCATGAGGGTGTGCTCCTATTGGAGGTAGAACTTGGTAGCGGGAGCCTCTGAGGTCAGAGTTCGAGGACAACTGTCTGGGGATGGTCTGGGGAAAAACATACAGCAGGGGAGAATTCATCGTAACTAGCGACGCATTTGTTGTCAGTCGGTCATTACATCTGGAAAAATCAGGCAATTTGTTTTTGCCCCTTTCAAAGCGTTATTTTGTTACATTTACCCATTGTAACATGTAAAAACCGCGTACTCAGTTGTTACGTGTTACCCTTCAGTATTCTGTCCATATATAGTTAGAGGCATTACTGCCCACCTGTTGAGTGGTGTTGGTGGTAGGAGGAGGAGGAGGAGGAGGAGGATGGTGTGAGATGGTGAAATGGTGTCTCTTGTTCTCCTGTCGTCTCGTCCACTCCTCCATCTTCTCCTGGTATCCCTGCATCTCCGTCTCATCTACCACCTGCTCACATGTGTGTGCGTGTGTTTGGTATGGGTTAAGAAGAGAAAGGAGGGAAAGAGTTGAGAGGTAGTGACAGAGACTAGGGGGGGACTTGTCGGCGTCATCAAAGCACCGGACCACTGGACATACACTCAGGCTGTGCATGGAGTTACAAACCATTGTGCTTCCACATACGTACTATGTATTTGCTACATGTGCTACATTACTCAGGGCCGGTCATCAGGGGAGCTCCCTTACTGATCCTCATTGACCACGAGTTTCGGTTCCTCCTGACTCGTGGCCAACTACAGTAGGAGATCATATATAGTCAGTATAGAGTAGCAGGATACAGCTGTGCCACATATTGGTTTATGAGTGTGTACGTAGGCACTGGCACGCATATGGGATATGGATGTGTGTAGCATCTGTTAAAACTCAATGGCATCTGACTGGCTCATTACGTAATGTTTCGTATAAACAGTATACTATGTACATACATACGTTGAGATTTGAGAGACTCAGTCAGTGTCATGAAAGAGAAGAAATGAAGCAAAGAGTTAGTCAGGCGAAAGGCTGGTAGATAGTGCTACAGATGAGGTAATGTAACAGTGATGCTAAAACATGTGTGAGCAGTGCAATAAGACATCCTTGACCGTGAGGTTGATTGAAGTAAATTGCAGGTGTCTGCTGTGTACTGCATCAATTACTAAGTACGGTAGCTAGTACTTGAAATGGTATGTACAACCAGCATCATAATTACGGATGGGGCTATGATGTAGGGAGCCTTTCATAAGTGGTGAAGCCTATGTAGTAGTTCAAACAAAGTGACCGAATGCCCTGTGTTGTATATAGTGTATATACCTAGCAGACAGAGAGTTTTGTGTCTACCTTGCAGATGACGTCGAGGTCATACACAGCAGGAGAGGACTGTGAGTAGAACGTGACTCGACAGGCATAGCTCTTGCCCGGGGCAACGTACCCCTCGCCTGGATACACCGACACCACCTACAGGTATACACATTACATACATACTACATACATGATGTACATACTACATACACATCGTCCATACACCATTCAAATTCTGTAGAGTATTGAAGGTTGTTTCCCATGTTGCTCCCTCCACACAAGATGTTTAGTGTACTGGTGCACATTATCAAAGGGAATGTGACTATATTAATAAGAATAGGACCCAGTGAAAGAATGGAATTACTTACAGCTGTACATTCCCTTTAAAACATGCCAGCACATTTTAATGCGGGGTAAAGATGCACAAGTCCTGTGTAGCTACAGAACACCCCAGAAGCATGTCTGCACACATGTCACGTGACCACAGTGAACTTCTCAAAGGGGAAAAAATTAAGTTCGAGCAGTGGGAGCTTTCAAATTTAAACTCCTAAACATATGCAGAATCCATTCATATTGGACAAGCAACCTGCAAAGGTTTGCCCCCATTTCAAAATTTCTCTCCTGAACAGTTTAGTGGTACAAAGAGTGGGAGACCTCGGCCGCAGGCTGTGCGGAGGTGAGGAGCCAGGAGAAGGAGAGGGTGTGAGTTTGGTGATGGTTGGTGAGGAACACGAGACGTCTGGTGGGGGAGAAGAGAGGGAGGGGACCAAGTGCCAGGTGCTCCGTGGATAGTCCGGCTGTCTGGCCGGGCAGTCGTGTGGGGGAGACAGAGGTGGGGGCGGAGACTAGAGGCAGGAGAGGGAGGGAGGAACTAGCAATGGATTAGCTTGTGGACGTAATACGGCGTACAGCTGAAGACACAGTATGCCTGTATGTCTTAGACTGCATACACTAAGCAAGCTTTCTCTGTATGTTACCATCCTTCATTAGCTCACGCATGTATAGCTAGTCCCTTGGTGTGTATGTGTGAGCCTTTTAGTCATGACTGTGTGTTTCACATACGGTCGTGCAGCTCTTAGAAACCCTTCCCCTCTCTCTAATTCTCTCTTGTGAAAGCATGAGGTCTCGAGCATTTTCAAGGGGGGATGTCTTACACGATGTACAGAATGATGGTGCACTATTGGATACACCTTTTGGTAGCGAAGAGTACACATGTGCATGTGTATGTGCATGTGACTATATGCAACAGACCTGAAGTGGTGGACGAGGGGAGGAAGGAGAGGGAGACAGTGGGTCCACTCCCTGGCCAGAGAATGTCACTAGAACACTCTCCCCAGTAGAGAAGGAGATACACACCTCCACCTACACACACACGTGTGTGCCAGACGTACTTATAGGAACAGTTTGCAACTTAGGCCCCTTCAAGGGAATGTGACAGTGTAGTAAGTGCCATTTTAGCCAAAGAAATTTCTGTTTTTTAGTATATACGTATACTGCCACTTACACCCGCATTGCACTAACATAATTGTGACGTGGGGAAATGCATGTTGTAGTAAGCACCGACCAATTGCAACGTAGAACATATGCACCAACTAACGGAGTAGGTCCTGGCCTCCAGAGGAGAGAAGATGAAGGGGAGAGAGGCAGCCCCGCGAGGCAGGGACCTCTCCCTGGCCCGCCAGGCACTGGAGGACTGGCACCAGGTAGTTGGCTGTGGAGAGGGCCTCCAGTGGGCCAGTGTCCACCTCGTATGTCACGGTGGCTTCTCCTGCATTGTACATCTCATAGGTCTGTGAGTGTGTGTGTGTGTGTCAAGTGTGTGTATGTGTGTGTTTGTGATTGGGGAAAGAAGAGAGAGAGGTAAAGTGTAGGCAGGACTAAAACCAACGAGAGAGGGTGGGCGGTCTGTGTGTGTGTATGTGTGAAGTATGTGTGTGTGGATACATAGGGAGAAGAGAGGGTATTTGTAATGTGGGTGGGTGCTAGTGGAGAAAGAGAAGGGCAATGCACTGAGAAAACAGAGGACTTTGTGTGTTTGAAGGTTAGCAGACCTTACAGATCTACGGAGCGAAGATCTATCATCCATACTATTATGAATTTAGACACAGAGTACAGGTGAAAATCTTAGGAAAAGAGCACTCCAATATGGCGTGGCAACACCAAACGGCTGGTAACCATACTAAAACTAAAAGTAAAATAGCCTGCCAAACGTAGTGCAACGTATATACAGCATACAGTCTGGAGAAGGATAACAGTGTATTACGTACACATACGTACCTGAATGGGGTATGAGGAGAGACCAATGGGAGTAGGGTGGAAGGAGTGGTGGTGGGAGGTGAAGAACATACGAGGGACTCCTCTCTCTACCGTCACTCCACTCCAGTTCAACTACACACACAGAGAGAGAGAGAGAATCAGGCAACATATTGTGAACTCTAAAACACTGTACATACATCAGAGACACATGCTTTACGTCTGTCCACGATCATGAACAAGATTAATTCGTTAGGACCATTTGCAAGAAGGCATGGCAAGTATACATAGTGGGTAAAAGTGCAACACGGAACGAATTAAAAAACACTTTCTTTACTTAACATCAGAATTGAACTGAATGCCTATCAGCCTAGATCATCGTACGACGTACAAATGGATGGCTCACCAGTATCTCCCTGCCGAGATGAACTTTGAGAAGAACAGGCAGCCTGCTGCTACCAATGTGAGTGTGTCTGTATATACATGTACATGGACATAACAGGGAGTCACGTAATGGTTTGACTTGCTGTTTTATACCATTATAGTAGTTGAGGGTGAAAACGTTCACAGTGAAACTTTCGTGGGAAAACACACTATTTATAAAGTGACAAACTTTCGTGGAAAACAATTTGTGAATTTGGCAGCAGGGACAATTGTGTAGTGGAAAAAACACGTGCATTGTTTTTCCACTACACAATTGTCCCTTGCTGCCAAATTTCACAAATTGTTTTCCCACGAAAGTTTGAATAGTGTGTGTAGCTACTACGCCTCTCACTTGAAAGAGCAGAGAATGGACGTGCTCTCTCCTGGAGCCAGTGTCCCAGTCTTGGGAGACACTGTGAACAGTTGGTTGGTGATGACATTGTGATGATGTCGTTCCACCTCGTCCAGGGACCCGGAGTCGGCCCAGTACTCTGGTTCCAGGTGCATGTCAGTGGGGAACTGGAACCCCCTGTAGTAAGTGAGGTATATACATACATACAGGGATGACAGTAGGATTAGCAGAGTCCACGTCATGGACCAGAATTGAGCACACCGTATAGTGCACTAGTGTTGGGGTGAATAAATTTCTGCATTTTTCACCAAAATGCTCCAAAATATAGTAACTGCATCAAATATGTGCCAATTAATCTACGAACATTTTTCACCTTGAATATTTGCCACCGTTAGTCTAAGTGCATACGAGTGGTTGGTTAAAATTCATGCAGCCCCTGTAGGAAATCTGCCAACACTTTCACAATCCACTCTCCCTATCTGACATCTAACAAATCCATCTTGCCTCCACACTCTCTAACCCACTTTCTCTCTCCCTCATCTCCCTCACCATCTCGCCTCCACTCTGCCACTGTTCACCAGAACAAGGTGAACCACACTGCGACCGCTGCCCGGCCGGGCGGCTCCAAAGTTGAACTCCTCGACGGCGTGCGTGTGGAAGGACACCTTGCGTCGCATGAGTGGCGGGTTGCTATGGCGTAGCGCAGCTCCGAGGGAGAGGGGTCCTCCTGGAGGTGACTGTTCACCCTGCGTGGGGATCATGAGACTGTGGATCAGGGGTAAGAACTCCACCAAGAAAGGTGCATGTGTAGAGAAAGTGGGAAAAGGCAGTGAGCATATGTTCTAGTTAAAGTACCGCCCGGCGTGAGTATATACTCTATAACTCATTCCTTACCAATGATCAATCAACCACTCCCCAACTGTGGCATACAAGCCTACAGTTCCAACAGTCACTGCCTCTTGAACACTACCCTTGCACTTACATGTGTGAATCCATACACTGTGTGATCCCCACACTGACACTGTATAGTGCAACGATGTGGTCTACATGTACGTGCGTCCTTTTAGCGCTCAGCAACGTCTCAAGCGTGTCCTTGAAAACATGGGAATCACCTGCCTAGCTAGGTGACTACAAACCACGTCTTTTGCTCGTACTCACCAGGAAATATTGGGCTCAGGGAGGAACGTTGACACTCATGTACATAGCACTACTCACACTGAGCACTCGTGCTACATGACTTTCTCAAACTTATCCTACACCCAGTGTTGGCCCCTTACAAATTTCGACATTATTATAAAGGGGGCACATTTTTCATTTTTTGTCCACGGTTCCTTCACACAATGTTATAAAGTTAAGAGTGCATAGTACGTAAAAGAATAGGGAAAAAACGCTCGGCATGTGCATTAGAGCATACGCATACTTGTCAATGGAGAGCATGTGCCAGAGCTTTGCCTTGCTCATTCCGTTGGCCACTTCCAGTCCGTGAACGTCAGTTACCTCCAGAGAAGGGTAGGCCCCTGTAATCTCCAGGGTACAGATCATGCAACCTTCAGCTGCAGCTACAGCTGTAAAAAAAGGAAGATAACGAAGTAAAAAGTGAGAAGGGGGCACCCGGATTTGAACCGGGGACCTCTCGATCTGCAGTCGAATGCTCTACCACTGAGCTATACCCCCAACTGCCCCCAACTGTGGCAATGGCAGATGTTAGACCATCGTCACTCTGTAACACACAGACCTGCCTTTACGTACGTACAGTACATCGTAATGAAAGAGCCCTAGGATGTGGAGTATGAATTATTTTTGTCTCAGTGAAGGCATCTCCTTGTTTTAATTGAAATATATTTGCAGCAAAGGGGTTTATACTGTATTTTCTGAAGTATAAAAGGTTACATCTGCATTTCATGCGTGCAACTTGGAGCATGTGCTTACGTAATGCAAACCTAGCAGAGATACACAAAACATATCCACAGCATGTAACTCAAATGCCAGTGTATTAGAAACTCTCCACGTACCTGGATTGGTAGAGATGAGGCGACAGGATATGGCAGCGCTGTAGGACACTGTCCTAGTTGGTCTTACTGTGACACGGACCACCTGACTGGACCGGGCATGCAGAACACCCTCACCTGGATCCAGCCTCACTCCTGTCAGAGTTGAACATGTAGTCACAGAACAGAGGTTGAAGGATTGATCAAAGTTGTATGCACACAGGTCAGGAAGGAAAGAGAAAGAACCAACTTTTGTGGTTGTCAAACTCAGGCATTGTGAGGTGCAGTGGCTGGAAGTCCATTGCACCATAAACACTGAGCCACAACTCCCAGACAAGGCTTTGCTGCCAGTGTGAGGTGCAGTGACTGGAAGTCCATTGCACTGAGCCACAACTCCCAGACAAGGCTTTGCTGCCAGTGTGAGGTGCAGTGACTGGAAGTCCATTGCACCATAAACACTGAGCCACAACTCCCAGACAAGGCTTTGCTGCCAGTGTGAGGTGCAGTGACTGGAAGTCCATTGCACTGAGCCACAACTCCCAGACAAGGCTTTGCTGCCAGTGTGAGGTGCAGTGACTGGAAGTCCATTGCACCATAAACACTGAGCCACAACTCCCAGACAAGGCTTTGCTGCCAGTGTGAGGTGCAGTGACTGGAAGTCCATTGCACCATAAACACTGAGCCACAACTCCCAGACAAGGCTTTGCTGCCAGTGCAAAGTTCCTACATACGTAGATAGGCCACGACCACTGGCAGCAGACTTGGAGGAAATGGGGAAGACCAGCTTTGTAGCTCAGTGCGAGATGCACTAGATTTCCAGTCACAACTCCTGAGTGCGACTCCCAACAAAGTTATTTCCCCTCCTGACCTGTGTGTATACCCCCACCAATTCTTCAATCATCCATCAACGTACACGTCAACAAATAATACACATGGGGAATTCAAAGTCACACTCTATTCATTCATCTCATCAACTAGCATACATACGGCATGCAAAGGTTAGGTTTGCGTGTACTGTTAACTCAACGATTTGGTGTGTGGTCTTAGTGCTATGGCTGCCTCCTGAGTTCAAGAGTGTTCTAGAGTGACACACTTCTGTTTACTGCATGTGCACTAAGGACAATTTTTGAGAGTTACAAATCCAATCCGTTTCTCTGGTAAAACGCTCTCGCATATACAAAATTGGGTAACCAACCTGTAAAAGCAAAACTATACCTACAGTACATACAGTGTATGCGAGCATACACCATTCTGCTGGTAGGTGTACCATGTGGTGATGGTGAAATGTCCTCTCCTCCACTCTGCAAGTCCTGTTGGTCATTGGAAGTGGAGGATACAGTGTCCAGAGAGTAGTAGAGAGTGGAGAGTGTGGGGTTATGGAGGGTGAGGGTGAGGGTGTGTGATGTCCCCATCGTGACTGTACCAAACTCCAGACTAGATGGAGAGCACTGAATGGGGGGAGGAAGGTAGAGGAGAGGGGAGGGAAGGAACGAAGGGAGGGAGGGAGAGAGGGGAAGAAGAGTAGTGTTGATACAAAGAGAGAGAGAGAGAGAGGGGGGGGGGTAGAGTTTGAAGGAGGGGTGGAGAAGGAGAAAAGAGGGAGTAGGCAAGAGGGAGAAGGGAGAGTAATAGAGAGGAATAAGGAGGGGTGGGGAGGGGGGAAGTAGAGGGAGAGAAACAAGGGTGAGGGTTGGAAGGAGAGGTAGAGAGAAAGAACCATACACGTCCATGACCATGACCTACACAGTTAGACGGTAGCTATACGCCGTGTATATATACCTGTACATCTCCCAGCAGTCCCTGACCAAAGAGGTCGAGGGACACCTTGTATCGTCTGGGTCTCGGCTGGCCACTAGTAGTACTGCCAGTGGTGGTGGTGGTGGTGGATGGTGGAGGTGTGGAGTATTGCCTGTAGAGCCACTGAGGAGGCATCCACTGGCGAGAACTGCCACTGGTGGCTCTGTATGTCACATGGAGTTCATTACCTACCAACACAGTGTACGTACGTAGTATTGTACAACCTTCTGTTGCATGCCGCGGTATTTTTGGGGCAGATTAGCAGGTTATACAAGTCGTGGAAATAAAATAGGACGCGCTTACATTACCGCTGTATATTTAGTTGGAATTTTAGACTTACCGCACACATATTATGTACTCACGAAATTTAATGTTACACATACACAATTTAATGTTAACATTTGCACTATGCTAAGCTCTACTCTAAGGCAGTCGCTTACCTGTGACTCAGATGGCAGGATTGTACCCTGTCGAAGGTCAACGTCAACAACCTTTGAACCCCTTCCACTTATTCTCCACTCGTACCTGCATGCATAGCGTACATATGTACGTTCAAACACGATGAAGACAGACACATTAGACAGAATCATGCATATGTATATGCAATCCATTCGCAGGCTAGAGAACACGCATCTTCTGCCGAGGCAGGAGTTAAAAACCTCAGGTATTTGTAGCGACTTGAAATCTTTATACAAACACCCTTTCCCATTAGCGGGAAGAAAAAATGTTGTCTAGGAGTTGCTCATTGTACTGCATCATTATACTTCCAGTTGTAATGCCCCAAGGAGATGCCTGCATACATACAAGGTCACTGCTATGTTTAGGCCATGATATACATGTGCAAAGTCTCGTCTAATGTATCACGGTTCTTGAGATACGCATGTCGAAACTTAACTTTACAACAACAACAAGAAGAATTCTGAAAACGGACTTTCTTGAATTAATCTAAGCCACTTCTTAGGTAGCTTTACCGTACGGATTGAACTGATATGTCAGAAGTGGGATCTGATCGAAATGGAAAGGATTTTTTGCAAATGGACAAACGTAATGCTGAGGGACCCTTGTCATCGCTATATGTACCAATACTACTGTACTTAGTGATACGTATGTACATACCTGAGAGGAAGGTGTGCGGTGTTGGTGATCCGGAGGCTGGCTGATGACGTGGTTCCAACGCATGTCGGCTTGAAAAACAGCCGGCCCTGTGCATAATCATACGTGCTCATAACTTATGCACATGATTTATTGGTGAGTGAAGCCAGCCCACCTACAGTGGTCTATTCGTATCAAGACAACACCGTCCATACGTTCTAGTGGTACACGTATACGTACCAGCCAGCAATAGGTTTTGTTGTTCCCAAAGAGCGTATATAACTATATTATCAAGAACAAGTAGATGTGTATGCTCCACATGTTCTCTTCCGTTAAAGAATGTATTTTTAGGCAGATGTATACAAAAAGACTACCATTTGCCAATAATTGCAGACAAAGTATAGAGAGAGCCGGGGAGTACCTGATTCTCCAACTGGACCGGACTGAGCTCTGCAGTTCCTGACAAAAGGAGTTCCTGTACACAAGAGAACAAGACAAAATTCCCTTCCTCCTTCCCTCCCTCCCTGCTTTCTCCCCTCCCATACCTCCAGGTAGTGAAAGTGAACGGAAACACATAACTTTATTGTAAACAGAATCCATATGTACATATTACGTGGTTCATAGCACGTCCTATGTAGTTTGTTGGAGAGAGGGGCTAGAAGAGGTGCCTTGGTTGTATGTATGTATGCACACATGGGATCGTGTACACCAGTGCTGAGTAATGTGTCTGAGCCACACCCCTTTTCCCCGTGCATGTAGTACAGCGCTTGCCTAGAGTGCAGAGTCTGGTGTGGTTGTTGTTGTTGATGACACATGTGTTATAGATGGAGGCAAAGGTGTGTAAGGCGCATGCTGGGACACTGACTGTTTGACAGCACAAAGAGATCGAGATGGAGGTACTGTGGTGTGTATGTTTGGGAAAGGGACCTGGGTGTAGTTGGTGGTAGCGTTCAGGACACAGTGAGTGATGTGTTTGTACGTCTTTGCCTCACGAGGCATCATCTCCATCACAAAGGTCTGCAGCATGGAGGAGATGGATGCAGGGGACTAATCACCACTGGAACACATTACATACCAGAATAGTATATACACCGTGAGGAGGAAATACTAGGTTGGTGAATGGAGAACAGTATGTGTGCAAAGTCATTCAGACCAGGAAGAGGGGATTTGTGACATTTGCAATACATAATAAATTGGATATCATTTGTCTAATTTCATTCCCTCACGCACATTATTATGGACCCACCATGTCAATAAAGAGTTCAAAGCAGAGGCAACTTCACCCAAGACAACTCATGCACAGTTTTTCGTGAGGCAAAATATTACCTCTGATTATGAAACTTTTGCCATGACAAAATAATTAAATCAGCTATGTGTATTTGGTACTATGCACAATCCTTTCATGCTTACTTTAACACATACCTGATGGTGCCCCTTGGGAATCAGGCCAGACAGAGGTTTGATTGTAAATATCCTGCAAAAAATGTACGGTACGGAGCGCATACAGTACGGCACGGTGTTGGAAATGAGTCTCACTGTTTGGAGTCTGGTGGGAGTTCAAACAAGACCGGAGTGTCTCCCTCATTCCATACCGTCATACTCCGGTACGCTGGTTCCAGTGGTCCACTGGCTGGGAACACAAGGTCTCGAGTCTCAAACTTCTGTTAGTGAACGACAGGGGGAATATAACAACAACAGACTTATACACTTTCACTGTAATACTGCATGTTAGAATGTCTAAATCAAAATAAGGGCCACGATCGACGATGCGCAACTTTGTTGTGTGAAACAAAGTTGCATGCAACTTTTAATGAATGGGTGAACGATGTGTCCAGCATGTTGCATGCAATAAAATACTTTCTGTTCCATGTTTCACGAAGCTTTGTTGCACGGTCCATCACACCCATACACTATATACTTGCAAAAAATTTGATATGTGCCATTACTTGAGTAAGAATTTGAAATGCTGTCAATAACATGTACACATACAAAGGCAAGGGAAGAGGTTTTTGACTATTGGTTTCAGATGTGAGTGTGCATGTCCAGACAACGATTTGTTAGGAATTATGACCCTGCAAAATTTTTCATCCCATCACCGGGGTGGTGTACATCAGTATAATGCACCTTAAGCGGTGCATAAAGCGGTGCATACATAAGTTCATAAGTGTGTGTGTGGTTACAGTAGTACGTATGTATGTATATACCAGGTTGGGCATGAAGGTGTGTGTGTTGGCAGTGAAGGAGTGACCATGGGCTCTCACACTCAGACACCATGGCAGTGTCACCGCCGCTGCCCCTGACACACTCTGGTAGCACTGCAGACCCTAGGGTTTGTACATTACTATCTCATAAACAGAAGCACCACACACGCACACATACACACACACCCACCCACACACACACAGTACTACAGTGAGGACAGTTCCCTTGGTATAGGTCCCACCAGAGCATCTATTCGGAAAATACTGTCCTAGTTTGATTGCGTTAACTCTCCACCATTACTGGGTATGTATATGACATGTGGCAATGCTCTATAGCACTTTTTAGTTGGAGTGTGTCCGAATAAAGAGGACTTCTTTTCAGGAGCACATGCTGCAGTAAGCTACCTAAATCCTGCTGTACATCTTATGATGGGAACATTAACTGACTTTGTAAAAGATGTAGCACTCCAGCTCTTCAAAGTAGAACTTCCCTGCATGCTTCTGTAGACATATGAATGTACGTCACCATCATCATCAATAGAAGACAGGTCACACACACATACAGTGGAATCCCTCTAATCCGGACACCAATCGAACTGAGGAGGTGTTGTTGTTTTAAAATTGCACACAATGAACAGTTTTTGGGAAAGAATAGCTAGAGAGGTGTCCTCATTTGAGGGGTCTACCATCAACACACAAGACACCGAGCTACCCCAGTTCTCAAGGCTGGGCACAGGCTCTTCTTTACATGCCTCTGTGTGCGTCTACCTGTGTATATTTGTACAGAACGTGTGGTGGGGTTTGGTATATAAGAAAGGGGGAAAAGGAGAGGGGGGAGGGAGGGAGGGGAGGGGAGGGGAGGGAGGGGAGGGGGGAGATTGGGATTGTGGCCTTCTGTCTTCCTCTTTTCCCATGCTAGTAGTGTGCTAAACGTCTCATACAGGTGAGAAGAGGGCAGTGAGGAGGGAGGTGGCTCCTCCATTGTAAGAGCTGTTCTTAGGAGAGGTCCTCATTTCAGGGGTGTATATACCATCAATACACACGATATATTATACAGAGCTACACAAACTGTACATACAGGTGAGAAGAGGGCAGTGAGGAGGGAGGTGGCTCCTCCATTGTAAGAGCTGTTCTTAGGAGAGGTCCTCATTTCAGGGGTGTATATACCATCAATACACACAATATATTATACAGAGCTACACAAACTGTACATACAGGTGAGAAGAGGGCAGTGAGGAGGGAGGTGGCTCCTCCATTGTAAGAGCTGTTCTTAGGAGAGGTCCTCATTTCAGGGGTGTATATACCATCAATACACACAATATACAGAGCTACACAAACTGTACATACAGGTGAGAAGAGGGCAGTGAGGAGGGAGGTGGCTCCTCCATTGTAAGAGCTGTTCTTAGGAGAGGTCCTCATTTCAGGGGTATACCATCAATACACACAATATACAGAGCTACACAAACTGTATTGTACATACAGGTGAGAAGAGGGCAGTGAAGAGGGAGGTGGCTCCTGGCACTATCTCCTTCTCCTGAGGAGTCACTGAGAATGTCCCTCCACTCTCTGTGGCCATACACAATAATGTATGGAGGACATTGACAATAGAGACAATAGTGTACTTTAGACCACATTTTAGTGAGTGACATCATGCATGTATGAGGGAGTTTACGGATGATATGCATGAACAGATGGAGGTTCAGTTAAAAAAGGGTACGGCATATTTGGACAACATCATCAATTATAATTGGCGAGCAAAGCAAGTTGCCCATTTTTTTCATGTACTATCATAGTGTGGTGTCCTCAATACGATCACGCCTTACATCTGGTGAAATTTTGCACTCGCTTTCGCTGAAATGTTTTACTATTAGGTACGTATGTATGTAGATGTTCTTCAGAGCTGTTGTGTTGCAACACATGGTAGTACAGTATGTATGTACAGAGCTGTTGTGTTGCAACACATGGTAGTACAGTACGTCTGTACAGTACATGCTCACCAGTCATCCAGACACAGACAACAGTCTCCTCTGTATGGTTGGTCACCTGCACACTCTGCAACAACAAAGGAAATGCGGCAGTATGTAAGGGCTAAATTTAGAAACGTTACTAAAAACAGAAACTTAATTGAATTCTTGCTCTGGTTTCGGTTTATCTTCAGTAACATTTCTAAATTTAACCCTCATGTACTGACATGTTCCCTTTAACACTAACACAACAATGATGATCCACACTACACTTTCTGCACCCAATGATGTCCCTTAATAATAATATTGTCTATGGAAGGGCACCCAGGCTTGACAGCTCTTTCCCCTCTCGGTTGAAAGAGTGAGATACTGTATCTCACTAAAATGAATGTGGCTCCCTCTGTGGGGTGTTGGTTCTGCACAGAAAGTGTAGTTTGGATCATCATTGTTGTGTTAGTGTTAAAACCTGTAATTCAAGGTTACTCACCTCTTACTCTACTCTAGCCCTAAAACACCAGCCACACATAACTAAAACGTGCCAATTAATGCAGTCAGCTGGCGGAACACTGCATGCAATGAAAAGCACTAAAGTGCAAACCCTCGGCGAACTGCGCATGCGCGATACTGCAAATTGATGGGCTGGGCCGGCTATTTGTTTTCACGGCATATCTCTCGAACGAAGTCGTTTCAGGAAAATTGCCTAATAATTTTTCGGGCTCCCGTAGTTCTGAATCCGCTGGTATCGCTAATGGGCCACCTCGTAGCCTGTAGTGCCAGAATAAGCGTAGACACACAGACAGACAGACAAACCAACTACCGTAACCCTCGCTGCGCATGCGCGCCGAGGGTTACGTAACTACAACAAAATAATAGCTAGTTACACACCATGGCCATAACAAGTTACGAAAGGGCCATAGTCACTAAAGTTCTTATATAGTTATGATCGATCCACAGTACGTGTGTTAAGATGGCTGACCTTGGAGTCAGAGACACTCTGAGGAGAGACAAAGCCAAACTGAAGATCCTGGGAGTCCACACTCACATGGGCTACACCAGACTGTACATACATAGGGAATAGAGAGGGTTGATATAGTACATGGGTTCTGCCTAGGGTGCAGTGTTGTGGGCTCCAATCCCACCCAGGACAGCTCTTTTTTCCTTGGAGTTGTCCTGTGCATGTAGTTATGTTGTTTGCCTAATTGCTATCACCAAGTACGGTAGTACTGTAGTATATAGGGATGACACAGGTTGTCCTGCATTATGCCCATACATTTGAGATGATCATATGCCTTGTAACTTTGTTGGTGATACTTATGGACACATTAGACTGCAGAGCATCGTGGGTTCGAATCCCACCAAGGGCAGTTCCCTTTTCCCTGGAAACGTTAAACGTTAATATGCAGATGTACATCTGTTTATTGATTCCACTGCCAAACCTATGGTCACTGATTGGACTCACTGGATCGTGCTGTGAGTGAAGATAGTTTGCGAATGGGAGGATGGGGGCATCTCTGGTGGGAGCTGTTGCAGACAGATGATCAGAGGTGATGGCGTGAGGTTGAACTACTAGTCCAGTTGTGTCGCTGGTGGTCAGCTTCTCTCTCCCCTGGAACTGTGCCACTCTCTGCAACCAATGAATCACGAACTCATTATACTAGCTAGTTATTATAACACATACACATGTAGTATGTATGTACATGTAGTCACACCTACATATATCATTCCAGGTAATCACACAATATTACGTACGTACATTACGTACCTCAGGGGGAAGTTTAGTGATGCCAGCCTGTGCATTAGCAATGTAGTCCCTGACATGTTTTGGCTGCAATACAACTGATAGTGTGTGTATGTGTGTGTACTAAGGTTAAAGATCAGCAAGAAAAACATACTCCAATATGCTTCACAATAATTATGTCACTTGCCCCGTCGCGCCGTGCCACAAAGATAGAAAATTTGCAATGTGGCAATGCGGCGCAGCAAAGCAGGGCAATGGAACATATCGTGACTAGCCTATTAAGGTAAGGGGTAGAGGAAGAGAAGGGTAGGTTATGGCTGGAAAACACACACACACATCATATGGCAGAGAGCAAGGGACAGCGGTAAGCACCCACCAGGTCTAATGGTCTCAGAATAAACAGTTCCAATCAAGTACACAAACAGTGGCTCCTAAAGAAAAGGAAAGAGATCCACATCAAAAACACACAGCGTGTGCTTACACACTGTTTATCGTAATACATATGTATGTACACCGTGCCCTCTTGAGTGCATTTTGTTAACTTTACCCGTAAAAGGCCCATGAGGTCCGTTAAAATATCGACAAACAGTACAATAGTGAGGTGTACTATATACGGCTATGTGTGTACGTGTAACCATGATGTGTAATTGTGGCAAAGTACCGAAGTAAAGTCGGCTTGCGTGACGACGTTCTCACAGTACAGTTAGACGGGAATTGATATTAGAACCGAGAGCATATAGTGAGGTGTGCGGCGGCATGACTTATATATATTCGATGGTCCACGTGCACAGAAACTTCTAGAAGGTCGACATAGTGACTGTGATTACAAGTAGGCCTGAGCCCAATCTGCTCGATCTTTCCCCTGTTTTTCTATCCAACATTTCATTTATGTATAAACTGCCTCTTTTGCTCACAGCCAAATTTTCCCACCACTCAGATGAAACTCAGGTGAACTTCATAATAAATACAAAAACAGAAAACATTAATCGAAAATTGTATTGTAACTTAAGAGAAGCTTCTATATAGTCAGTGAAGGTGTTTAATAGTGAAAAGACCCGCACAGATGCAGCTGATGATGGCTGTACTAATAATACCATGTGAGCTGTGTAGCCAGCCGCGCTTAGCTTAGCGCATTCTACTTATGTGCATGCGTCAGCCAGTCAGGCTCGCCCATTTTCCGGCATTATGCTCGCTGCTCGAGGGCGCCTATTTTTACAATTTTTCTGCCGGCAGATTGGGCGCAGACCTAATTACAAGATACGACCCACTACAGTAAACAGTGTGAACCATGTTACAAGACACATGCAATAGGAGACAGACCGTCCGGTGCAAGGGGATTCTTTCTCTGTTGTACATACGTACTGTATAGTGTACCTGGTGCTGGGCAAGGCAGGCGACTCTCTTGCAGTGTGGTATTGGCCTCTGTGGAGTGAAGTGGACGGGGATCTTGTGGGTGGAGCGAGGAGGGAGTCTGGCGCATGTGCAGTCTGCTCTGAACACACTCCCCGGCTCCAGCTGTACCTACATGTAGTAGCGTGGTTACAGTCAATAGCTCTTTAACCCACCGCCCCAGTTCTCAAGGCTGGGCACCCAGTGTCCTGCTCTCATGTCATGTGTGTACTTGTGTGTGTGTTTTGTATGCATGTTTTGAAATTTGTGTAGCTTTATTTCTCTATCTATCTCTATCTCTCTCTGTGTTTCTTTGGGTGGTATGCTATGCACTATAGTTTCATTCAAAACTTGAATTTCATCGTTGGCCTGCTTTCCAGTAAGCCACACGTGCCTGTGCCCTGATATTAATTAGTCTTTAAATTTTTGGTTGCTAGGCAACAGCTTTACACATAATTATTATACAACTTCCATAAACCTCGTTGCATGGACCTAGTATCATTGAAGATGCATGAGCAACAATGTGTATGTATGCAGCTGTATGATCAGGTGTATACCTGGAAGAGGGTTGTGACATCAGAGTCATTCCTGACATGCAGTACTGCAGTGGCCGACTGTCCAACTGACATACTCCCAAAATCCACCACCTCTTCCTCAATAGACACTCTAGGAACTGTGTATACGAAACAACAGGAGTATCAAGTTGGAAACCAGACACTAGAGTGACAGAAGATTTGAGAGGTGTCCTTATTTCTAGGGTTTGCATGACAATTGGTTACTGCGTGCAGCGGGAAACGTTTCCGGGGGAAATAATTGTTTCAGAAAATAACGATGTCCCGACACATCGTGGAAGCAGAGGATATGACTCATGAACCACAAAGTTTCTCCAAGTTGCCCGCTATAATTATAATGCTCATTGGTTCCCATGTAAATACATACACTAAGAGTGGAGTGGAACCTTGCCTAGTAGTTCAGACACCAATGTGACACAAGTGTCCATACATATTTCAGGGGTAATGGGAAGAGCAAATGTTGTCTTTATTGGAGAGGTGTCCTCATTTCAGGGGTGTCCCTTACAGAGAGGTTCCACTGTATGTACGTATCTAGTGAGTCTCAATAAAACAGCTCTTGATTCAAAAATGGCTACAAATGTGTCTCCACCTTTAGTTGCTCCAACACACTTGACAGTGGTAGTGGAGAGGCCTCCTTGAACTCTGACTTCAAAGAGAGCAAAGAGGGAGTGTGGGGAGGGGAGGGAGGGTGTGAATGTGAGGGGGAGGCGGTGAGAGGAGTGGGGAGGGACGGTGATGGGCGAGTGAGGGCAGGAGAAGTGTGCCGGGGTGAGTCGAGAGTGGCTTGATGGGAGAACCGAGACAACCGCCGTCACCTGGATATCGAGAGAGAGGTTTGTGTGTGCATGAGTGGTGGCAAAATGAAACTCAGGGTTATCACGAACTTGGCCCCTTATCTCTAGCTGAATTTTCATAACTCTTGTCTTTTTTTGGAAACTTTGTCCCACATTTAACCCCCCATAGTAACAACGTGTAGCAGTGTAGTTCCAACGCACAATCTGAGACTGGGACTGAATTAAGACACCTTCCATCCCAATCATATTATATCTCACCATCTCACCCCTCACAGGACACTATGGACTTTTTAAAAGCAGTGTATCGGGTCAACTTTACGTGTTCACAAAAACACACGTGAATGCAATGATTAAAACTTTTCAGTATCCACTGCATGGTTTGTCGAGACATTAGTCTCTGGATACTAAAGAAAGTGTTTCATTAAATTCTCATTACATATTTACATACTAATACAACACACCCAGAGTAAAGGGAACTCACAGCTGAAACGTTGACCAGCTCGATCCACCTCTGGCCACTGGTGCCCACAGCTACCACCCCAAACCTCACCACAACCTCTTGCCTCCCTCCACCTCTACTGGCGACAACCTCTTCCCCTCTCCCTCTCTCCTCCTCTCCTCTCCCTCCTTCTGTGCCCACCCCTCCATCGCGCTCCTCCCTTCTCTCCCCTCCTCCTCTTGTTTTGCATGCTCTATCAGCACCAGACACCGGCGGCGCACGGACTACCACGTGAGGGTACTTCCCTACTCCTTTCAGCTGAACGAGGCCAGCTTTCTCCCCCACTCCTTCCCTGCCATAGTAGGTGCAGGTGGCCGTCCCACGGTACACCAGAGCCGATTCTGGTGAGAATGTTGCTGAAAGATTCAACGAAGATTTTGGTGGGAGTTCTCCGGTCTCTGGTGATACCGTGAAACACCTTGGGCACTCCCAGGAGAAGTATGTGCTGGCATTGCTACGTACACAAACAAAAAGAGAAAAACTCATTTGACTTGTGTGTTGTGCAGATGTATATACACACGCGTAACCAGGTCGCAAGGTCAAGGCAAAGTCAGTGACACCTAGGACGGCCTCTTTTTTCCAAGGAAGAAAGATCTGTGAACCCTGGGTGAGGTTTGAACCCATGACACTCTTACTTTAGGCAGAGTCTTTACCCACTAAGCTAGTACCAGGGCAGCTCAGCATGCCTGGGACTCAAATCTACAACACAACACCTCACGTAATTGAAGAGAAGAGCGGTAGGAAGGCAGATAGAGAGAGTATGTGACATACGTAAAGAGGGGGAAAGGAAAGAAGAGATAGTACTAACTGGAGCATTATTAATGGGAATGTGGATAAAAACTTAATTGCATTCTTGCACTTGGCTCAATTCTATCTTTAGTTAAATCTTATGTACAGCCATAATATTCTCTTTAGGCATATGTAGCACCTACACATGTGGTTAGCGAAGGACTATAAGGCTGGGTTCACAATAATATGTATGTCGCATTACCCTGTTGTGGTGTGCCCCGTTGCCACGTCACGAGGATACAATCACCTGTGGCACGACGCGACGGGGCAATGCGACATTATTGTGAACCCAGCCAACAAACAAAGTGCCCACCTGGTGTTGGAGATCTGAAAGTCGAGACTGAGACTGTCCTGCACCGCACAGAGCCCAAACTTGAGGCTCTCCGGTAGAGCTACAACCACAGACGGCAGGACGGCTCGCAGCGAGATCTCTACTGCACCCTCTGAGGTCTCTAGCTCAATACTCTCTTCACATGGCTCCTGTGGAGATATGTACGTACATCACCACCAATTGGAACCATTCTCCATGAAATTAAGACACCTTAGGACACCTTTTCTTTCCAGAATACAGCTTCTTGCAAACGAGGACTGTAATATGGACACACTTTCTTCTATGACTGCAGTGGAACCTCCGATAAGAGACCCTTCAAGATAGGGACGACTTCTCTACAATTATTTCAACCCCATGCTAATACTTTAGTGTATTATGCAACCTCCGAGTATTGATAGGGATGCCTTCTCTACAAGGGACGAAATCGTTGGCCCCATAGTGTCCCTTGTTCAGAGGTTCCACTGTAATGCCACGCGTTGTTTGCAGTAATTATCTACCTTCTTTCTAGGCTTGAAGACAATGGGTAGTGTGTAGCTCATCCCTGCACTCAGAACGATGGGCCTAGGGTACACTGCACTGTGGAACTGGTCCCCCTTGATTCTGCATAGTGTATCATGTGGAGATGAACTTGGTAGAGTCTCTTAATTGGACATACACACTGTTTTATTGAAGAACATTGACAATGCTTTGACCAGTGCTGGTACATGTTGCATGGCCTGATGTAGGCCATAAACTTCCAGACAGCTGTATGATCCACAGCTAAACCACTAGGCTATCTCCAGTTATAGTAGAGAAAGGTGGATTCTTCGTGCGTGTCTGGCAAACTCACGTGTACTTGATCCTCTGTGTCCGCAGCTGGACGTTCTTCACCACCAAGGTCTTGGTGTACTCGCCTCCCGGCTCCCAGCCCTGGTACACCACACCTCGCGGCACCTCCAGGCCGCACTCCACCACCCTGCGGGGCCGAACAACCGCCATCACGCTGCCTCGCTGGCTGATCAGATCACTGGCCCCTCTTGAGGCGGCCGGCTCTTGCAGTCTAGTCGCTGGTTATCGGGTAACCATAGCAATAAGCGCACGCGTACCTACGTTCCCCCATACCACAAACCCACGACCCCCGGATCCGTCCCACGGCACGACGATTTATTAATCAAAAGAGGGGCGGTGCCAGAGGTGAGGCGTGCGTAGGCAGGGCTCTTGTGCAAAGTTCTTTTCGACGTCCTGTGAATACCATGGCGAGTGGATCTTTTAGTCCGTCGTCGTGGAGTCCCGGTGTCTTTGGCAGCGGGGGCCATGTTCTGAATAATGAACGCAACTGGCAGGAGCCCGCGACCCGCTACCTGCGGTCTTCCAGCGATGCGGGGCAGAGAGCGTCGCCGCCACCTCTAATGGACCCTATGCAGATCCCGTGAGTGTGTATATAGCTGGCCAGGCTGAGGGGTCTCCTGCGTTGCAGTACAAGTCATTATAGCTAAGACTAGGTATAAACCGGATAGGAACTGCCCGCATTGTGACAGCTAGCATTCTGGATAAAGATTGCAGCTAGGACCAGGAGGAGTAGATGGGTACGTAGCGATCTGAAGGCTTATCGGAAATGCTGTGCAGTATGCAGAGTGGATGTAGCGTGAGGCGCTAAATGGTCTTTAGGTATTCATATGCTGCCCCTGGATGGATACTGATGATCTGGCGAGAAATGATTTCCCCTGGGATCTATGCTTACTTAGCTGCACTGGTCGAGCTTGCAATGAGCTGAGTAGTTAGTTAGCAATCTGCACTCATGCTCAATACCTGCTCACAACACCATTGTGGTGTATCGCTGTTACTATGCATATATCCTAGCTCAAGGAGTATTACTCCAATAGAAGAGGGGATTCGCGGCTGGGGGGCATTTTTTATGAATCCTACTAGCTATGTAGATGAAAACTGAAAGTGCATGTTGCAAAAGATAAGAGTCTGGCGTATTTTTACCTCTGTGTAAACGTGAGTGTGTTGTGACAAAATTGTCAGCGCTATACTAATCCTGCTTCTTGTGTGCATACTAAAGTCTCTTTGCAAGCTTGTGTGATACGAGAATTTGGAGTACTGTTCCAGATATTTTTGCTGGTTCTGTTCCAAGTGGGCAAACTTAATGCTTGTTGCTAGTGTTTGTTTGTTCTCACATGCATTATACACCCAGACGCACCGCATTTCATACCGAGAACAAGAAGAACCCCCAGGCAAAAACAACCACTTATACGACCCGATATATATATACGACGTGTATGTTTTTCTTGTGAGTGTACTAGCTCCTGTTTATGCTTCCATCGAAGGTGGTATCATCCGAACATCACAAGAAATCTGGCAGAGGCAGAGCTGCAGGAAGCAGAAGAAGGTGTGTACCTCATGAGGCCGAGACGTGGCGGGAAATCAATGAAGGGATTTGCTATAGATGTCAGGTAGGTACATTACAATTGGCGACCTAACCTAGTGGCCGGAATGGTGTGAATACTTATCATATTATTATCTGAGAATTGGCATCTGCATCAAGACAAAGCATTTTCAGGTGCTGCAGTTAACAGGTTTGTACTTGTTCGTTCCTGCTCACCATAAAATTGTGATCGCTCTTGAGTGAAAAAAAATCGATAGGTCAAGCGATTGAGATGATAGAGAAAAGTATGGGGAAAACGAAAAAAAGCTCCCATGCGGGGAATCGAACCCCGGCCACGGCGGTGAGAGCGCCGGATCCTAACCACTAGACCACATGGGATTGGGCGGGAGTGATGGCTTCAAAATTCACCCTTATAGAACTACGCACACCGTGAAACACTTTCCTGTGGACTTTGACAGAGACGCATGGACTTTTGGTCAAGAGACTTTTACCTCAATTCCCGCGTTTCTGGAGCACTTCGACAACAGACCTTTACTAGGAGATGAAGGGGGTGAGTGTGGGTATCTGTACACACCCTTATTTTAGTATAATACAAACAACATTTCATAGCTCTTTGACTTTAGCAACTGGTGTTGTTATTGGGACACGCAATTCCACACAGTAAATCATCATGTGTGTGTGTGTTAAAAACAAATGCTAAACTAATGAATTTCTCCTGAAATTGTTGCATAAACTCTCGGCTCGATCCCTCCAACTGCAGGTAAACTGATAGTGTTGAAGTACCCCTATCCCAGAGAGGTGGAGGAGAACCCAGACTACCACTCTTCAGTGACGGCCCACTTCCTCTCAGACCCTCCCAAACACCCCAAGAAGTTGGAGCCGGGGAGAAGGTGCCAGTCGGATTCAGAGGTCCTCTCAAACTCTTCGGGAGAGAATACTCCTCTGTCATCGTCAGTTGAAGAGCCTCCGACACAAAAGACAACCTCAATACACTCTGTCTCCGTGAGTCTTGTCCCATTACGTCGTTAGGAATTGTAGACACTTCTGTATGCTGTTCCTCTTTCTCCCCTTCTCTCCCTCTTTCTCTCCCTCACCCCCTCTCCCTCTCTTTCTTTATCGCACATGCAGCTAGCTTCAAAGGCGGGCTACCTAGTGAAAATGGGGGCCAAAGTAAAGGTCAGTCCAAATAAAGTTTGTATATGAGTAGTAAACCGTTTGGTTGGTTGTAGAGTTGGAAAAAGAGATGGTTTGTCCTCAAAGACAAAAACCTATCCTACTACACCAAAGACACTGTAAGTCCACTACTCCATCGGTACTCACAACTATACATATAGACTCTATTGTGGTTGCTAATTGTGTGATTGTGTGATTTGTTGTAGGACACTCGTCCATTGCGTGTGATTGATCTGTCTCAGGCCACCAGCATCTCCTGTTCGGACGAGTACGAAGAGAAAGCAAACTTGTTCAAGTGAGTGAGTAGCTTCAATGTGGACACTGCCTGCATATGGGTCAGTGCTCTACATAAACCGTAGTTGATGAGCGAAGCAAGATCATCTGAACTGCACACAGCCACCCTTATCATAGTGTCCTACCTTATTCAAGTACACACATGCATGCATGTAACTGATGTTTCGCAATCGTTGGTGGTGCCTGCTGCACAATTAACTCTCGCATTCATTCGCCAAAATGCATTGCGACAATGGTCAAGTTTATCAGTTGGTCCACCACTGGTATTTGCTCTGGGATCTGGGAACAATACGAACACTAAACCAAGGGAGTCATTACATAAACTTTCACTCTATCCCTCTGACTAATATCCACAGTTATTATGTAATCTGTAATCATCAAGCTGCTACAAAACTGTTGTTGTAGGATTGTCCTGCCATGGAGGACCTTCTACCTCCAAGCTCTGACTGAAACTCTGAGAAGAGAGTGGGTGGAACTCCTCAGCTGGAGATTGGTATGTTTTCCGTCTAACCACAACTAATGCTTCAGCATGTTTGTACATATTAGTGTTTCTGTACTTAATCCTTGGGATTTACCTTTGCCTTGTGTGCGCATTCTGTAATGCACTTTGAGCCCTGGTTGTTGGGCTACCCTGCTGGTAGCTCAGTTGGTAGGACTAGAGAGGAGAGTGCTGTGTTCCACCCAGGGCAGCTGAATAAAGTACTGTCCGGGCCTTTTAAACGTGATGTCGGCTGCATATTAAAGGGTCACGAGCAATCGTCATTGTTTTCCAATCGTCGTCGTTTCCCATTATGGATGAGCATGAGCACAACCCTCCGTTGCGTTGTCAAAGACGGGCAAACAAAATGGCCAGACACTCCATGATTCATGCATTCTACACACACACATGCAGAGAGAGATACAGAGACTCCCAGAAGCCAGCTGGAGACCGTCGTCCTAGCACCTCCAGAGCCACACTATAACATCTCTACCTATTATTCCTCTTGCAAGTTTCTCTTTCTCATATTTTTATGTGGACACTGTTTTTTTAACTACTGTATCATCTTTCTCGTGTTGTGATAAAGCTGCATTTTAAACGGGAGATGAGAAGCAGGGGGTAATGGGGTAGGTCGACTGACTGAGCATGTAGGAGTTTTCTGGGCATGCTCAACATTGTTGGTCTTGGTGTGTATACAACACAGGTATACATTATACAGTAGGTACAGTCAATAGTTCACTTGAGGCTTGCTTCGAGGGTGTTAACGAACTCTAATTGCCAGGGGTGTCCCCGTCAGGTTTAATCTCGTCCACGATGCGGCTGTTGATCTCCTCCAGTGCCCTCTTGATGACACTCTGGCTCTCTGTGTCCTCCAGGAGCCTGGCCAGCTCCAGAGACCTCTCAAATGACTGGAGAGCACCCGCCAACTGTCCCAACTTGCCTGGTGGAAGTGTGTGTGTAAACATTAGTCATAATTTGCTTGGTTAACCATACCACCCCCTCTCCCCCCCACCTACCAAAAATTAAGCTTTAAAATTGAGTATGTTTGGTTAGCCTCAGCCTTGATATCACTCCCTCTTCTGCCTTAATGCTTTATTTGTGGCTTTGTGTAAAGTGCAACAACATGGCTAACCTTACCCGCTTCATTCCCCACCAGTCCTGGCAAATGTACTCAATCGTAAAACCCAGTCCCTCTTGTGCCTTATTTCTAGCTGTTAAAACTTCATTATTCGAATGAAGTTTCGACTAAAGTACGTTCATGCTGAGAATGAATGCGGAAGTAGATAATGAGGAGGGCGGTACTATTCGCCCGTAGAAATGTAAGGGAAAATTATGCCGTAGAAATGTATGGGATTGTGGATAACGTGCGTAGCGACAAAACTACGCAGCGGATTTGAACGGGGTAAGCGAACCGGAGTGTGAAGCGCTACATTTTGATACCAAGCGTAGCCGCATATGGTGCTGGAATCGGAAGTTATTCTAGATTTTCAAGGTGCATTCTCAGCACGAACGTACTTTAGTGTAATGGAAGAGCATTCCTAGTCAACTAAGTATCCTTATTTCTAGCCTGTGTCATTTAATAGCGCAACAAGATGTAACTTTACTTGCAGGAAGCAATATACATCATAATTATGCAGACTTTCTGTACGTTCTTCCGCTTTGTGTTAAAGTTGCACCCCGACCTCATTGAATTACACACTACACTGCTGTTCCTTGAAGAATGTACTCTAAACCTGAGAATAACATGCCATCTTACACCCAAATTTCACACCCATTTTCAAGCGTGTACTGAATTACACCCTGCACTGCTAACAGCTTAGGAAAACTTCCCGGTGTTCATGTCCGTAGCTCTCTTTTAAAACTTCTGTGGCACGCATGTATGCATGCAAACAGCAACGTGGTTGCAAGGCAAGGCATAAGTATGTACAACCCAGGATATCTGCCCTCGGTGGGCACAACACACTGCACTGTAAGCAGAGTGCTCTACCTGCACTGTAACCTACCAGGGCTTCATCAAAACAGGACAAAAGCAAATCCTTGCTACTGTATGGCCCTCTCTCAACCTCACCACCGGTTTATATAGACCATTTAACCAACGCTAGCTCACTCTCGGCCTGGGCGACTAGAACACTGGCATTGAGCTGCCACATCTGGTCCTGGGCCTCTCTTGCGGCGGCCAGAGACTTCTCCCCTAGGTCTCTGGCGGCCGGATAGTCCTGGAGCTCCATACGGCAGCGACCCAGCTCGTGATACAGCCATGTCGTCTCCTCTGGCGTCTTGAGCAGCGGGAGCTTTCTCTGGAAGCTAGTGAGGCAGATTCAGAGGAAATGAGTAACAGTCTATCTAATAACCTAGACACAACATTCCTATATTATGACATCATCTGTGAGCACATCAAGAAAACGGTCATCAGTGGAAACACTCTACTTGACCTGGTAGACGATGACCATTGGTGTACACAGGTGAGGAGGGAAAGAGAAAGAACCAACTGCCCGGGGTCAAACTCAAAGCCTCGTGACTGGAAGTCCAGTGCACTGAGCTACAACTCTCGGACAAAAGCTGGTCTTTCCCTTTTCCTCTTTGGGACATAGTGTGAACTGTGCAATGTGTGCCACAGCCTCCCTTCACGTACTAGTCAGTGGCCATCTGGAAATCCCCAAGAACACAGTAGCTCCTGCCAATGTTGTCCAGAGCACGAGATGTAGTAGCATCAGCATGATCACTGCATGATGTGGAAAAGGGGGGTTCACAGCAGGCACTCCATGTTAGAATACAGTGGATTTTGTCTCTTGTAGAGAGGGCGTCCCTATCTCGGAGGTCAAATAATACAAGCATGGGGTTGAAACAAGTGTCCTTTGTAGAGATGCCGTCCCTATCTCTGAGGGTCCCTTATCAGAGGTTTCAGTACAGAAGAACCCCTCTTTATATACAGACATCACTGATATAAGGATGCCTCTCTAATAAGGACACCTTTTCTTTCCCCAGACACAGTTTCTTGCAATCCTGAAACGAGGACGCCTCCATTAGGCACACTATATATTGCCCCATTGTCGTCCTGATTGGAGGGGTTCCCCACTCCTTACAGTGCTTCAGTGATTTGAAGATCACTGAGATGCTGCTCGAGGGCTAGCTGGGCCTCTCCCATCTCCAGGTAGGCATTTCCCATGCAGGAGTGGATGCTGGCAATGAACTCTCTCTTGTTGGGGAGGTCGGTCGTAGACATCTCCTCCACTGTCTTCATCAGCTGCTGCGCCTTCTCCAGGCCCGACTCTGCCTCACCACCACTCATTGCTGGAAAAATAGAGTAACAAAAGGGCCTACTGGTGGAACTCCTCTCTAAACCACTGAAATAAGGACACCTCTCAAAAGGACTTCTTCCAATATCATTGATTAAGGACATAAGTCACTAATATGGACCCTTCTTCCAACCAGATTAGAGAGGTTCCTTCTGCACATGATCAGGTTTGCTATTAGTGAAATGAGGTAAGGACAGAAGAGGAAGGGAGAAACTGAGCTATACATATGTACATGCAACGCAAAGGTCCCTACAGGATCCTTAACCTAATGTGCATACTGTTGCATTGCTACCTAAAGGATGGTGTAACCAGTCGGTCAAGTTTAAGTCGGTTTACTGTGCCATAGCACAGTGGTTGGAGGTTTGCCTTGTGTTGTGTTGTAGATTCGAACGCTCGCTTAGACTGCAGAGTGTTGTGGGTTCGAATCCCACCTAGGGCAGCTCTTTATTTTTCCTTGGGAAAAATGAGCTGTCCTAGGTGTAGTTGGTTTGTTGTGCCTTTGCCTTTCTACCTCATAGTTTTTACATGTACATGTGAAAGGGACTAAAACACTAACAAACGTGAGCAAACAACATCCACACGTACTCCCTAACAAGAAAGTTTGTACCTGAATCAATGTCTTCCAGAGCCTTGAGGACATATTTGGTGTGGTCTACCCCAGCACCACCAGTAGGTCTGGGCACTCCCTTGGAGCGTGGTCTGGTGGGAGCTGGACGATACTTCTTCAACTCTCTCTCCCTCTTCCGGGCATACATTGGCTTCTGCTGTCTCCAGAACTCAGTGCGTGCGTCCAGGTAGCCGAGAGCTTCGTCGACTGTCGTGTACAGGGAGCGATCACCCCCACTCACCACCAGCCCTGTACAAGGTAGAGAGGTGGGTGTGCGATAGAGATAGAGAGAGAGGGAGAGGTGGGAGGAGGAAAGGGTGGAGGAGAATGAGAAACGGTTTAGGGAAGAAGAGGGAAAGAGGAGGGGAAATAGCTACAGAGACAAAAAGAGAGATCAAAGCCACCATAGTAGTAAGTAGTCAACAGAAAGAGGAGCTTGCCCACCAGGATCCTTGATCAGGTTGCTCAAATACTCCCTATCCACATACAGCTCTCCCAAAATCTTCAGAGAAAAAGTTAGTAACAAAAAGTTACAATAAGCATGCATTTGTGCTCAACGTACGTCTTTGACAGCTCTGTCTGAGGCCACTGGTTTTCTCTCCCCTACTGCCTTCTGCTGTGTAGCTGCGGCAGCTTTGGCTCTGCGCTTCCCTCTCTTCTTGCCCTGCAGAACCACCAGTGCCACATACGGTCAGACACATGATGGCAAGGTTTTGGATCACAGTGCGCTATAATGGCAAGGTTTTCGAAACAGAGTATACAACAGGGTGTGCTATATGACATACAATCATGTCCTGCTGTTGAAAGAAAGAGAGGTCTCCCGTCTTGTCCAGCTTGCAGGCAGCAGGAGCTGAAACAGAGAGGAGACAGAAGAGAAGGAAAAGAGTATAGGTTTGAGAATCATCTTCCTCTGCGAAATATTGTGGGTGTGGACCATTACTGTGTGTATATACATATAACATACACTTTGCATTTGCTACTGAATAAGTGAAAGCCTTCTTGGGTACAGGACAGAGCAGAGATGCACTGCCTGTGCAGTACATAGTTCTGCACTCACATCCAATGGAGTTGTTGATGGCCTCCTGTGCCTTCTGAATGCCGAGTTTGAAGGCCTTGATGTCCGGCCTGATCTTGTCTCCTCGGTGGTAGAAAACCAGAGCATACTCAAAGTCTCCCATTGCATACATCGTCTCTGCCTTCTGATAGAGACCCTGCATCAGATACAGTGCTAGAGTATGGATATGCACTGATTGGCCTTTCTCACTTCAGCGATACTTCAACACGATTGGATTGAAATCTCGAGTTTGAGCAAGGAATACAGTGGAACCTCCAAACAAGGGCTAAAGTATTAGCATGGGGTTGAAACAATAGAGAAGTCGTCTCTATCCCAGAGGGTCCTGTCAGAGGTTCCACTGTATGTCAATGTGCATGAAACACTAAAAAATAACACGTGGTTCATCTCATCAGAGAACTTTTTTTGCTAGATGATCAGTACGGTATTTAGTCTGAATTTGCAATGCAGGTCCCTGCTCTACATTGTATACATATGACTGAAGGAATGCTTTAGTCTCAAGAAAAGTGTGGTAATAGTGTATCTGATTGAGACCCAAAATATCTGTTCCTTAGTGCTCCAGACACGTGAGCAGTGTATGTAGGAAGTAGTGCACAGAAATGTCAAAATGCTGTACAGTCAGGACACCCCCGAAATGAGGTCTAAAAGGACACTTATCTAGAACAGTTCTTGCCAAACAGAATAAGGACAAATCAATTACACTTTCTTCTGCCTTATTGGTGTCCAGATCAGAGGGTGTTCCTAGAGTATAATACTGACTCGATGGTAGGCCTTATCCTCCTTGAGTGAGACCTCAGCATCAGCCAGAGCCGCGGCAGTGTCTCCCAGCTGCAGGTGACATTTGGACCGCTCCACCAGACACGGCCGATCCTCTGGCTGGAACTCCAGTGCCTAGACATCAGGAGATGCTTGCTATGCAGTTATTGTAAAAGCCCACGAATACACTGAGCTGCATATAGGTAATGGAGAAGTATGAAGCATAGCTAAAAGCTATGGGCATAGCTAGATTAGATACATCACACTAGTGTACGTATATTAAGGGGCCAGCAGTCTTATGGAAGATGTCTGAAGAGTTTTGCAGAAGCTGAAAGTATGTATCTGTGCTAAAGTCGTTGCTAGCCACTGGGGTAGGCGACGAGACTTGCCTTCGTGAATGATTCTATGGCTTTTTGAAACTGCTTCTGCTTCGCGAGCGCCTCTCCCTCGGCGAAATAGATGGAGTAAGAGCCAGTTTTCTCGTCTTCGCCCAGATCCGACATGCTGCTGCCCGCCCCCCTCTCTCTCTCCTGCTGTATCGTTACTTGGCAACAAACGAGGTCAAAGGACATCGATAATGGTTCCCGCCCGCGTGTACTGCGCATGCGTAAGAGTGGGATTGGTCAAAACCAGAACTGAGTTTGAAGAGGAGTAGGACAGGAGAAGGATCAGAGTAGGAGAGGACAAAAGAAGGAGGCAGTTGGAGGAAGACCTTTTGCTGCTACCTTTTAAGTGTATTATACAAGTAATCCTTCCTCTCTTTTTTACTACGCACTCTTCACATTCTTTCATTCTACCAGGCGTGCACGTGAGATTGGGAGCGATGTTATTCTTGCAAGCTTATACATAGCATGTGTACAATGACAAAAAAATGAGAAAATGATTGACTGGGACTAAACCACGAGTTGTTCAATGTAAGACATGAACGTTTCGTCTGAATTTTCCTGTGGAAACTTGGGCTGCACAGCTGACAGGGAAACCTAGGGGAGAAGAGTAAAGGAAATGATAGAGCTTTGGAGTATAGGGTGTGTTATACCTTTAGTTTCTTGAGAAAGGTGATGTCATCTTTCCACTGTGACGAGAAATTGGGGCACTCAGGTCTGGTCTTGTAGAATGAGGCCAGGGAGTCCTGTAGCCATTTGGTAAACATAGAGCTCTGATCTCGAGCTGGCTTTATTTAGCTGGTTGGTACACACACATTGCATTATAACAGCCTCGAAACCAGATTACGGGTGCACTACTACGCCTATATAGGACAAGACTTGAAGAGCTACCCTACCTAGGTGGGACCTGAACCCCATGACACTCTGCGGACGAGTGCTCTACCCACTGAGCCACCAGAGAGGTTCATCAGGCTATATAGGGTGAAAGTATGCATACATACCACTCAGTGGCGGATCTAGGATTTTGAAAGGGGGGGTTCCGCTGTCCAAGAACGTTTTGACTGCACTCATGTGCGCACACGAGGCTGGCGACGCAAGCGAGCAAAACGATAAAATGGGGGGTTCCGCGGAACCCAAGGAACCCTCCTGGATCAGCCACTGCTACTATATACACACGTTCTTGCAACTGGACATTATGTGCAATCAACAAAAGGCACGCAGAATTTTTTGTGGGATGTGCTAATTTAATAGATAATGATCATGCCATCCCAGCAATTAATTAGTGTTAACAGTAGGGATAGGGAAAAAAGCTCACAAACAAGGCCCAAAGGAAGAAAATTACTTGTGCATGCATTTTGCATGGGCGTACATCACAATTACACGATAGCCTTAGCCTCAATTTTAAATGTGCATTACACTACTATCCTGCGATAGCTAAGGATTGTCAGATTATTATGCCAATAAGATCTCAAGGCAAAAAGCTAAGCAAACTACAAAAAGACACTCAGGACAACCGAAGGAAAAAAGAGCTGCCCTGGGTGGGATTCGAACCCATTGCACTCTAGGCGAGATCTCCACCAGGGCAACTCAGCTGGTAGGAGTGCAGGGTAGCGTCATAATGGGCGAGATTATATTACATGTCATCTCTCAAAATTCATTCAACCTAGCCAGTAGAGGTTCAGGAGTAGCACATCGGCAAACACAGCAAAACTACTCATATCCGGGTCCAGAATATCGTATTTATCATATTCCACGTAGGACGTGGTGGAACTCATCACAATACCGCTGCCGCCGATATCCCAGTTAAACGCCAACAGGCCGACGTCAGCCTTGTGCTCACGCCGCTCCTCTTCGAACACACAAACTGAATCCATGATCTACTAACCATGTCGTCCACAATCTCCTGTGTGAGGTACTGCTCCCAGTTGATGGTAGTCTTTACCTCCATAGGCGAGATCTGGGTGGGGGGGAGAGGAACACAGTGGGTATGAATGAATGTATAGGTATGTACGTAGAAATTAATCATGCCGTCATTTCAATAAGCTATAGAAAGGTTCTTCGGTATCAACCAGCACATTAAAGTGGGTCGAAATCCGAGCATATATAGGTGGCTTGGTATAATTTCATATGTATATTTATAATTAGGAGAGTCTGGGGGTGGGGTATTCTTTAGGCACCTACATACGCATTACTGCATACTAATACTAATGCCGGAAGAAGAGAAAAGCACTAGATCGCAATGTACCCTTCTATATGCAAAGTCACGCACACACGAACACGTACGTACACACGTGCACACACACACAAAATGGCAGTAAGGTAACACGACATTATGTGTACAGGAGATCATTAAATGTCGCACCCACAACAAACAGACCGCCAAAACAAGTGGTAAATAACATACGTATGTACACTTGAAACGGCCACAGGTGCAAGTGATTATAAGATTCCGGGCATACTTCGGCTGACAAATGACATACCTCAGTGGCAACAGAGTGCACTACATAGCACCTGACACACATGGCCAGAGGCATTCCCAGCTAATGGGACTAACAAAGCCTTCATCAGTAGCCATGGGCACTGACGAGTTGTCCAGAAATTAACTACTGGCCGTTGGCGAGAGACGTATCAGCGCAGCTGTGGGTGAATTGTACTTACCGACCATCCAGTTATTTACTTGCATCAATCGTGCCCAGATCACACCTACGTACGTGACAACTCGTGGGGTGGGTCAGAGTCTCTGAAAAGTCGACATTCTGGTTTGGCTGGATCAGCAGCATCATTTTCAAGCTACTAGAAAATTAGAGTCGATTTGTGTTCACCCGATTCCAAAGGTCATTGTGTAAACTTTTGAAAGCATATTATGGGATATATTGGACTGATAAGGTTGCAGGTTTAGTGAAGGATATTATCAGAACGGGAAAGTTGTCGAGATTCCAATTGTGTCTTTTACCGTTCTAAGAGGGCCCAGGTGAGGTTAAATAATTATACCGACACTGTCTGGAATGTCTGGAATGTCCTAAATACAACATCTCATGTAAGCACAAACGTTTATTTGCAGTTTGGTATGTGTACATGAAATTGAGAGAGAGGGAAGGTATGTAGCTATTGTCTCATCATGAAATGGAGAGTGGTGTCTCGTGAAGGAAATCAATGCAGTGACCTGGGGAGTCAAGAATGTCTTTGATGTTAGTTTTTTTTACTCCCTCTACAATGTGTCTGGAACATTCGAAGTATAATATCCCGTATCAAACATTCGATCAAAGGCTTTTCTGCTGTATGGTATGTACTAGTTACGATATTAGCACGGAATTGAAAGGTATGATATTCTCACGAAATCGAGAATGCTGTCTCGTAAAGGAAATCGGTGCAGTTGAAACTTGATCTGAGGAGTCGAGCGTTTCTTTGATGTGCGTTTTAGTCGCTCAATGGAAGGCCCCCCACATTCCATTACACATTTTAACAGATGCTCAAAGAGACTTATCATCGCATTCTCCACATGCCCCTCTCTTGTTTGATGTATGTACAATTTCCCTAGTACAGTTGATTAAAATCCACAACAGGGGGAAATGAGAGTCCTTTGTTATAACATTACGTAAGGAAATTCTTGGTGAGCGAACTCTTGCTCCATGACCTTTATACACATGATGACAGATCTACATCGGTGTCCCATATGTAGTATATCTGGTCGAAAAAATATCCAAATGGCACCTTAGAGGCCGAATTACCGTTTTAACTTGGAGGATAGCATTTGCCAGGAATTGATGTTAACACTACGGCACACTACTCGAGGCTAAATTACGGTCTGATACGCCCCTAGTTGTACACCTGGTCACGTGTAACAGAATCGACTCACATGAAGGTATTAGACCATGTGATGCACGGGGGGATACAAGTTTCTTCGAACTCTATCTCACATGCACGGGGGATACAAGTTTCTTCGAACTCTCTCTCACATGCACTTTTTGCAATTCTTCCTACACGTTTTAAAATTCTTCCTGCCCATTTCTGAATGCATGCTTCCGCCACTTTTGCATGTGGAGGAAGGTTTTCAGTAAAGTGATATGGGTTTCTTCGGTTTATACCCTCACTTGTAAAAACAAGTTTTCTTATTTAAATGAGAGAGTGTTGGGGTATAATATTAGTGAGGTGTCCTTGCGCTAAATCGCGTGCAAGAACTGTTTTATGAGGAAGGATAAGGTGTCCATGATAGAGAGGGTGTCCTCATCTCAAAGGTGGCCTTAGAGAGGAGTTCCAGCATAATGTAATGACCTGTAGTACTAGGTATATGTATAGCTGTTTGCAAACACCGAACCACTTACTTAAATTACCCTACAGAAAACAAACTTTCGTCCGGGGAGAAAGGTAATTCTTTGTTCACCTCCTTCTATAATACTTGCAGGCTTTGCTGCATAGCAGGTACATAAGGCCAGCTGGTTGGCTCTTGTGTCGTGGCCACACATATGTACTGCACACAGTACTAATTATATGCTCCCAAACATGGTAAAACCCTTGAGGCATTAATAATGAGGTACTATGGTGTGTGCGTGTTTGAATGTCTGGAGCATGAGTGATGAAAGAGTAACGTGGCTATATACCAACAAGGACCACTAATACTTCAGTTTAGAGAGACAAAGGGATTGCGTTTACCGAATTTGGCAGTTTACCAGGAAAGGAAATGCGTTATCAATTGGGCCAATTGGAAGAGGCATGCATATAAAAAAGACCTTTACAGAGAATGCAATTAGTGCCGTGTCATATCTTGTCCATAGACAGTCAAAAACAGAGCCAACAATGAATGAATGAAAAACACTGAAGTGCAAACCCTTGGCACACTGCGCATGCGCAGTACTGTTAATTGATGGGTTGGGCCAAGAGTATGCGTTTTACTCGTGGTCTCCCGCTAGTAGACCACGAAGAGTCACAAGAGACACAGGCTAGCTACAGTAGTAGATAGCATGCGGGAGTCGTCGATACACACCCTTCGTTTTGACTTCCTGAGCCTCCAGAAGCGAGCGGATCAGGTCGCGGTAAGCCCAGTGCTAATATCCATATTGGCTTTTTCGCTCGTTTTCACGGCATATCTCTCGAAAGCAGTCGTTTCAGGAAAATCGCTTGTTTAGTTTTCATGCATTTGTAGTTCTGAAGCCGTTGATTTCAGGTATAGGCCAACAACATATGGCCGGCATACAGTCTAACACGGATATGCTACGAAATAACCTAAACATTGTGAATGAAAAAAGCAACAGAGTTAAAAACAGTTTTTCTACAACTTAATGCGGTCAGATACAGACATTACATGTCGTGGCAACAGCCGATGTTGGTCGGTGAATAATGCCCTAATGTCATTACGACCAGCCGAAATAATGACGTTAATGAGTGAGCAGCTCAAACAAACACACACAAGGTTTCCATGGAAGGTACATATGTACTAAGAGTGGCATAGTCATATACACATCTACAATAATACTCAGGTGTAGAGACAGATTAATGCTTTACACGTGAAACAAGAAGTTGTACACAAGGAGATGCTACAACTACAGAGAGTGGGTCCTTCTTGGAAAAATTTACACAGCTGTCCACCTAATTTTGTTCCAATTGGTCATAAAAACACTGTGCATTTATTTCTCTATCTATCTATCTATCTATCTATCTATCTACCTATGGCTGGTATGCTATGAACTATAATTTCATGCACCGAAGGGCACGAGCTACTGTGGAATCCCTCTACTGTGGACACCAATAACCGACAGAAGAAGTGTCCTTGTTGTCCTTACTTCTGGGGTATACAAATAAGAGGTATTGTCTTTACATGGGTGTCCTAAGGTGTGTCGTTATGGAGGGGGTTCCACTGTATTCTCTGTCGAGAATGAAATTTTGTTTTTTTTTTTATTTTTTGTTATTTTTTTGTAAACATATTGTTTTTTTTTACAATAAATTTTTTAATTTTTTTCATTTTTTGTTGTTTTTACTTTTTTTTAGATTAATTAATTTTTATTTTGTTTTTTTTTTTTTTTTTTAACTTTTTACTTTTATTTGTTTCCTCTCCTTTCCTTGCACTTTTTCCCTCTTTCCTTTATTTTTCCCTTGTTATTCGCCGCCATTTTTTTCTGATTTTTCTTAAATTTTTGTTTTATTCCTCGTTGGTTTGACGTTCCCCTCTTTTTTTTTTTTTTTTTTTTTTTTTTTTTATTGCGCCCTTTTAATCCCTTTTTACTTCCTCCCTCTCTTTTTTCTCGTTCCTTTTTTCCTTTTCTTTTTTTTTTCTCTTTTTATTCCCTCCCTTTCGTTTTCCCCTTTTTCCTTTCCCTCTTTGGTTTTTGTGTTGTTTTCCTACCCTTTTTTTCCTTTCCTCTTCTCCCGCCTCCCCTTTTTAGTTTTCGTTTTATCTTTTGTTTGCTTCCCCTTTTTTTTTTTTTTGCCTTTTTTTTAGTGTTTTTTTTGACTCCTTTTTACTTTTATTCCTTTTTTTTTTATTTTGTCTTTTTTTTTTTTTTTTTGTCTTGTTGAAATAATATTCGTGGATTTCCTTTCCTTCCTTATTTTTCCCTTTTTTTCCCTTTACCCCCTTTTTTTCTTTTTCCCTCCCTCCTTTTTTTTTTTTTTGCCCTTTCTGCCCTTCTCTTTTTTTCCCTTTTTGTTGTCACTTTCTTTTCTTTTCTTTTCAATCTTTTTTTTCTTTACGTTTATTTCTTTTTGTTTTTTTTTTTCTCCCTGTTTCTTTTTTTTTGTATTTTTTGTCGTTTTGTCACTTCGTTCTTTTTTTTCCCTTTTCTGCCCCGCTTTTCACGCCCTTGTCCTTTGTTGTCTTTCCTTTTCCCTTTTGGCCCTTTTCTATTTCCTCCCTTTTTTCCTTTTTTTCTTTTGTTTTTTTTTTTCCTCCTTGTGTTTCCGTCCTTTTTCCCTTTTTTTTTTTTCTTTTTTTTTGTTTTTAACTTCTCACCCTTTACTTTTTTTGTTTTTGTTTTTTCCCCTTCCTTTTATCCTGTTTTTTCCCCCCTTTTTCCTTCTTTTCTTTTTTTTCTTCTTTTTTTTTTCTTTTCTTTTTTACATTTTTCTGTATTTTGCTGTTTGTTACCTTTTATTTTTTCTCCCGATTTCCCGGATTCCTACCGGAGTCTCTTTCTTCTCTGATTTACCTCCTTCTACTTTTGTTCCCCTATATGTCTTTTTTACTCATGAGTTTATTTTTTTTATTCTTTTTCCTTACCATCTTCGCTTTACCTTTTTCTTTTTTGTTTGTTCCTACTAACCCTTTTTTCGTTCTTAACTTTTTTTTTTTGTACATGTCATTTGCCCTTTCCCTCTTAATTTCGGCCCCTCCACTTTTTCCTTTGTCTTTCCCGTCTTTTTTTTTTTCTTCGCATCTTCCTATTTCCCCCCTTCCCTTTGATTCGTTTTATTTTCCCCGCGGACGCGGGACTGTCCAGCCGGCGGTGACAGTGAGAACCCAGAAGACTCCAATCTTACTCTCTGCACCTTCTTCTTTGGCACCCAGGTTAGGACCTGTCAGGAGGGAGGAGGAGGAGGGGGGGAAGGGGAAAGAGAGAGAGAGAGGGGGGGGAAGTGGGGAAAATGCAACGTCAGGGGGAGAGGATAAGGAACAGAGAGGAAAACAAGGAAACAAAACGCGAGGAGTGAAAAAGGGGAGAAAGAGAAAGGAGGGAGGGCAAATATTAATACGACACATACGAGACAAAACATGAAGTTTTACAATGTACTAGCAATGGAGTTTTGGCAAGCGAACGCGAGTTACTGGCCCATACAGCAACGATTGCCAAATTTCAGCCACATGCACGTGTGATTTAAACTTGTGTGAAGAAGAGAGTGTCTCACTAATGATCAGGCCAACGCAGGGTTCCTCTCCGGATTTGTTCGTCAGGGCGTCTTGGTACTTCTTGTGAGAGAGAACGTCGTTCTGCGACGGTCTTGGTTCTGAGTAGGGGTGGCTGTGGTACCAACCGACCACCACCAGACCACGGGAGGCTATCGACGCACGGATCTGGACAACAATCCACCACAAAATGTGACATACTACAGAGAGTTTAGTAGTCATTCTAGTGGATGCACACAGAATCAATCACCAAATGCAAAAACCTAAATTTTATCATTGTCATGTGTGCAATGCGTAACAACAACAAAATTATTCCCAGACAAAATCACCTATATTTGTTGAAGCTTTGAAGTTTACACTGGTGTACTAGAACGGCATTTTGGTGAGTGAACGCGAAAGTTACTGGTGCAGGCGGTAACGATTGCGAAAATGTAGTCACATGAAAACTGAACAGCTCACTCTATATACATAATATGTAGAAAGAAAGAAAGAAAAAGAGAAAGAAAACAGGACTTACGTGCATGGGTGTACTTAGAACAATGTAGAACATTACGCTAACACAAACTATCATCAACCCCCCTCCCCATCTTCCTATTACCAAACGTAAACATGAACACAAAAAGACAAAGGTCAAGGTTAGGCTACCGACCCTCAGGGCCATGGAAAGGCACACCAAAATCTCCTACATTACTACAAATACATGCATCTTCCTTTTACCAAACGTAAAAATGTAAACATGAACACAAAAAGACAAAAGGCTACCGACCCTCAGGGCCATGGAAAGGCACACCGAAATCTCCTACATTACTACAAATGCATAGAGGAATCTTAGTGTATGTGTTAAAGGCTAGTGTACATGAAGATATTAGACCATGTATAGCCAGATCGCGTAGTAGGAAGTTGGCCAGCATTCACACGAGCACACACGTATGTATGAAAATGCTGCGGGTGGTGTGACTGGCCTGCCCCACCATCAGTGGTGGCCAGGTGGCTCTATGGCCCCATCCACCACCCTCTGCCACAGACAATTGATCCCCCAATCACAGCGGACACTGCCTCAAAACGACCGACGTCGCACGCCTTCCAACACTCCTTTGCCCACATCTGTCGCCAGCCACACATGTGCCAGGTCCTCTCCACACACAACTGATGGAGTCACTCCGAATACCGGCCTTAGTGTTGCTGCAATGCAGCACAACTTGACACAAGAACACTCTTGATTTCTATCCCGGCGTAACGCTGCGTGCGTCACAAGGCAAGCTACAGGAAGTGCGATTATTTTCAAGCCTGCTTTTCATATAGAACACAAAATCATGCAAGAACTTGTGTCAATATCTTCACACGTGGATTACAGTACACGCACAGTGAAAAACTCTATAACAAAATTCCTGAAATGATGACTCTCGCATGCATTTCAAGTAGGGACACCATGCTAATTTATTTTGTCTCATTAGTGTCCAGGTTAAAGGCGTTCAACTGGATGCCTTTTGATTTCCTTCTTCAATGAACTAACAACAGATCTATACAGTGGAACCCCTAACAACACCCCTAGAATTGAGGAACTGAACCCTGGCCCGATTTGAAGCAAATTCTTCTGCGCAGGTGGTACGTGTCGAATTGCCCTCAAATAGTAACCAATTCACACAGCAGTCTGGTGTCCTTACTATTATAGTCATCAGGGGTATGCTATAAGCTGGAGGACTAATGCAACACGACATTGGTGAGCGAATGCCAGAGTCACACACACGCTGCATATAAGATTATGATAAACATATGCTTGTGCGATAGAAAAATTAATCCAGCATTCGCTTGCCAATTGCTGTATGTCCCACAATCTCCACGCATACCTCTCTCTCAGCAGCTGGGCCTTCAGTAGGGCTGGTCAGATCACACTGACACGGAAATGCTTGCGATATCTCCAAGCCTGTGCAGAAAACAGACACACATTAACGCAGATCCATAAATTGGCATCAACTGCTTTTAATTCAGATGATCACTGGTTCACTACAGCCACGCAAAGGCCGAAGGGACGTGAAAGATACAAATCGAGGCAACTCTTGTGGCCTTTGTAAGGTTGGTTTAAGGTTATGTCAATCTTCGCAACAAAACAACAACAACAGCAAAAGGCAACGCAGCACAGATTTGTGGACGCATGAGTCAGAAATTCTTGTCCCCCCAGATCCCCGTGGGGTCTTACTCTTGGTGTCAGAGTTGTATCGTCCTCCGAGGTAGCCAGCTATCTCTCCAGTGCTCAGATGACTGTGAAACGTCTGCAGAGGTCAGGTCAGTTGTGTGTGTGGGGGCGGGGGGCAGGAACAAGAACTTTAAAACACAGTCTGGGTACGGTGTGGTTAATATTTTTCTGTGCATGTGTCTGTGTGCATGCATGCTTGTGTGAGGCAACATTAAGTCCATTTTACTTACTTGGAACCAAATTTGTTTAAAAACCCAGAATACGATAGTAGGTGGCACCTTCAATTGCCTGATGCGCAACGTAAAACATATTTTATATACTAAACATTTGGCACTAGCAGGTCAAAATTTCCAGCCAGGTGGAGCACTGCAGCCACAGATAGCACCCGTTGGACATTGTTTCCTTGTGTGTTACATATTATCACATCCCCACATATTTTCTGCTACGTATATGATACAGGAGCATTGAAAATATTTTCCACTTAAAGAGACAAATTTGTCCCACTAAGTATGCTCTTTATTATCACGTTATTGATTGGGTCCCTGTCCATAATCAGTTAATTATTATTAATAGGCGAATTTAAAGTATGCACTAATTGGGTGAAATTGTGTGGTAATGGAAGAACTAATTTCTATTGATATGTGCAGGAGGTGGCTGTGAACAATTCGGTGCCAATTAGAAACATTCAATCAACCTCCACAGAGGGAATATAAATAAACAACCGTGCAGTGAAAATTGAGTTACGTATAGCCTGGAATTTCGCCACAGGCAGTGAAGGGAGGGCAGGTGTTAGGAGCTCCACGGCATCTAGGATGGGCCTTGCACCACATTCCACTACCACACACTTATCCCAACACAAACTACACATACGTACACACACACGATGAGAATTTCTCAAAACGAGATCAGCTATATATGAAACAGGCACTCTGCCGAAAAATCCAGCTGTGTATGTGTACTCGAATTGGACAGTGGAAGCTGGTGGTAATTGGGATGTAATGGGTCGACCATTGAATTAGCACCACAGCTATTACAAGTGGCAACTACTCAAATCAATTTTTGGTGGCTATATACAGCAGAACAAAGGGACCGGGCGGTGGAGGTGATAGAACATATGGTTGACTGTAGTTTATCACTAATTAGTAACCACTACGCTTACACTGGTGACTATGCTTCGTGAGTTGTATGTGGTGTGATGTAATTACAGTAGTATGCCTGTGCACGTTTTTGGTACATTACACAGATGAAGAGGGAGGGAGGAAGGGAGGGAAGTCAGGATGAGGGAGAGGAGAGGGAAGAAAGGGAGGGAGGGGGAGGAGGGAGCTTGGATCTCCAGCGCGTGAGGGAGGGAGTTGATTCGGCGTTATTGCGCGCTTAGCAGGATGAGTGAATAACAGGCGTGGAGGTAGTGGAGTCTGTAGGGAGCTTTTTTGTCGAAGTAGGACTTTCAGGAGGGAGGGTTAATTAGTGATTTCAGAAACGTTCGGGCGGATCTTTCTCTCCATTCTTTCTCGTTCTTGTATTGCTGTCCTCTGGCGCTTTCTGCTTTTTTCCCGCCCCCTTTTCTTGCTTTTCCTTCCCTCCCCTCATTTCTCACTCCTTGGGTCGGGCGGGCCTTTTCTCATCCGTGTCTGTCGTGTCTTTGTATGGCGGGCGGCGTGCGTGCTGTGTGGGCTCGCGTCCCCCCTTTCGGTCGGGCGCCCCCGGCTCCCGGGTGGTGCGCGTTGCTACCGTGGGCCGGCTGCCGCGCCCCGCCGCTCGGGCCGGGCGCTGCTGTCCCATGAAGAGTCTCCTTGGAATCCCCGCGATCCGTGCGTCCTCTTGTGTCTGTCTAGTAGATTGCTCTAGCCGCCCCCATAATCTGTTTTCGAATGCCGTGCAATCAATGAAGGAGTCTGCATTGCGCTTGTTGGCTGTAGAACCGACAGTTACAACTCCCAACAGTAACCAAGCAAGCCAAAAATGGCCAATATATCTGGTCCATTTGGGTGTTGGGTATTAAAAAAACACCAAAGTTTATGGGCAGCTACTGCAATTGAGATATTGCTTTTGTCTAGAACTTACATTGGACGATGACGAATTGAATATCTCCATTTAAAAATAGTTTATATAAGCTGGAAGCACGGGCACCTGATAGCTTGTCTTACCAATTTTGCTTGTATGTTGTGGAACCAGGGCGCGCAGTACGTTTGTGTACAAATGATGGGTGGCGGGGGGGGTTGGGTGTATTAGGTATACATGGGGGTGTTGTGGGGTGTGGGACGATGATACAAGCATTGTACGGGCTAACAGCTAAAGGGGTACAATATAACGAATATAACTGGTCAACAGGCAGCAAAAAGGCTACGCAGCTAAGGACGTGAGCCTAACACGAAACTACGCAGCTTACAAACGACCACGGACAGGTCTCACTATAGAGATCAAGGCTTTTGTAAGCCTCTACAAGAAATACACCAAAGCAGCAGTCGAAATAGTGATAACAGTTCAGGCTCTATTCGGTTCTCAGTCAAGAGGTGGCCATTTCAATCAGAGTAATCAGAGCAGAAAGCGACAGATATTGGATGTTCACGCGAGAGGGTTCAAAGGTTCTTCATGTGTGTACCTACGTATTGTATACGTGAATTGGGTGTGCAGCACAAGCCGTGGTCTATAGAATCTTGATAAACGTCCAGAGTGGATTCAATTAATGGTTTCCTATACCACGTCTCTCCAGAACTCATAACAGCACTCCTGCCGATGGTGTATGCTGATGCTTGGTACGACACCATGAAATTTAAAAAAAAAAAACCCCCACAAGCCTTCGTTATCGTGCTTCTCTTTTGTTTTGTGTTTTGGTCGTCTGTTTTTTGTTTTTGTTTGTTTGTCTTTGTGTTCCTTCTCTTTTTTTTTTGCTTTTTTTTTTCTTTTTTCTTTTTTGTTTTTTTAAATTTGTTTTGTGGGGGTTTGGTTTTTAGTTATGCTCTTGGGTCTGTTTTATCGGACGAATGCCGTGTCTTTGGAGAGTGAGTTGGGTGCAGTGCTGGGGCAGTGTTTCAATTTTGGTATGTTTGTGTGTGAGTTGTGTGATATCAGTTGAACCTTATGGTAGGCACAGTGCCCCTCACACATTAACATTAGCTCGGATGTCAGATGCGCGTTACTATGTAAGTTAGGGCTCGGCTGGCTTCGCAAATAATAACTCAACATACATGTGTGGGTGTGAGGCGGGTGGTTCATGTTGGTTTTTTGTCTGTTGGTGGTTGTTGTTTTGGCGTTTGTGTTTGTTTTGGGGTTTTGTCTTTATAGTTTAGGTGTTTAATTTGTGGGTTGGTGTATTCGTTCTCATTGGTGGGGGCCTGGTCTCTTTGTGAAGGAGGGGGGATGGGGAGATGCAGCAGTGTAGGGAGTTTCCCCTCACGCGGCCTGGTGGGTGGGGGGTGTTTGGGTTGGGGTTGGTGGGTGGTGTGTTTGGTGGCTTTTTTGTGGTGTCTCTGTTTGTGGTGTGGGTGGTGTCTTTTGGGGGTATGTGGTTGTTTTTTTTGTGAGTTGGTTTTGGTTGTTTGGGTGTGTCGGGTGGGTTGGGTCCGTCTTGGGGCGGGGCGATGCGCGTGCGTGGTTGTCGCGAGGTTTGGGACATGGATTCGCGTGATGTGGGGGTTGGAGTGTGTGTGTTCTTTGCTTGGTCATGTGGAGGCGTCAGCCGGTGGTGTTTTGGTTCTTTCGTGGGTGGTGAGCGCTTGTTATGTGGTGTTGCGGTGTTGGGCCTTTGGCGTGTGGTTGGTTCTGGGGACTGGGTTACCGGCGATTATGGTTGGATGCGGTTCTTTTTTGGGCTGGGTGTGTATGGGGTGTTGGTCATCCGGGGTTCTGGTTCTTTTTGTTTGTTTAAGGAGGCAGCTGGTTCAGGGGCTCTGAGGTGGGGAGTTGAGTGGGTGAGTGGTAAAGTGTGTGTGTGTGAGAGAGGAGTGGGGCAGTTGCATTGCGTGGATGGTGGTTGGGGTGGTGGTGTTATTGTCGGGGTGGTTGTGTTTGTTTTGGTTTTTTTGTATTGAGGAAGAAGAAGGAAGACATACACGGTGATATCATGGCACGATTTACGTTTCTCTGCCCTGATACGCTTGTTTAGGTGTAACGGGGTTTTCTTTCAATTATGCAAAAGTACAGACAAGTAGCAGACCTGGGCATGATTTTTTTTTGACGGCACATTATGCGTGTTAGCTTGTTTTTTTCTTTTTTTGTTCACCTCTTTTTTTTTTCCCTTTTTTTTCTTCTCTTTTGTTTTTTTTTATTTCTTCCCACCTTGTGTTCTTTACTTTTTGTGTTTTTTTTTTTTTTTTTTTCTTTTTTGGTTTTTTTTCTAGTTTTTTGTCTTTCTCTGTAATGGTTCTGTGTCGTAATTGAGTGTGTATTTGGTGTGTTGGTTTTGTGCCCCCTTCTCAAATATGGAGAATAGTAAAATTACAGTCTTTTACTTGTCTTTCTTCCCCGAATTGTGGATCTGGCAGACGTCCACGACTTAACATCGGGGTAAGATAGTCTGAAGTCCAGATCACTCTTTACAGATATTGACATGCTTCTAAAGGTGGTGGTGTTCGACTTATGACATACCTTCCAGTCTTCTGTTTTGGGCCCATAGCCGTTTTGCACAGACAAGTTGGGGCATGTGCCATTAAAACCGACATTAACCTGTCGCCGCCTATCACCACCCCTAGTACTGTTACTTGACTTGCTGTACATGTTTGCCCTGTCCCCACACTCACCGAAGAAAACGGGTACAGCACAGATCGAGTTGGCCCCTGCAAAAGGAAAGTTGAGCACGGAGTACAGACAAAGACGTCGAAAAAGCTACACGAATTAGTAAGAGGGTAAAAGAATGGAAATACCGCAAAGTGCTGTTCACAAGAGACCGTAAGTGGGTCCGCTCAGGGACGGGGGTGGACCAGCAAGAGTGGCTCATCTCTCTGTAAGCCCGCCTCCAAACCACCGTCTATCTCTACCACATATGGGCACCCCCAACGCTTCAATAACGCGACTCCAACAAAGTCAATCAGTACCAATACATCGACGTATGTATGTATGTGTTATATAAGTGTGTTAAACACAGAATGTTTTACATACAGTGGATAAGTACACGAGTAACGTGCAGGCATGCTGTCTGACACCAATGGGTGCACATTTTTCTTGTTTGTTTTTTTTAGTATGCCATCAATACACACACGACCTGGGCAATTTGTATGGGGGGAATTGACCTGTAACAGGACGTCAAGTGGGCCATTCACCAGACCGCCTTTGAAAACACTTTTCATAGCCCGTTAGCACAGAAATAGTCCATTAAAAAGGGTAATGGCCCACTATGGGCAAATGAGCCACGGACACTGGCACACGGTAACAACCGTACAAATCCCCGGATCTCCTTTTGGGCCGCTGTATGCACAGTCCCTATAGAACGTGTAGTACCATTTACACCAACCACCCATTGAGAGCCTAACCGTGAACCTACACTGTATATTCATCCCCGTGTGGGATTATAATGAATATGGAGAAAGGGAACCGTTTGAGTGTGTACAGCTAATGTAAACGGCACGCTCTATTCAACTAATCCGAATGCCGGGCCTGTATATGGGGCACACAGAATGCCTGTTCACTACCAACAGCCCTTTTCGCTTTTAGACCGTGGTAACATATACATAGGCTGATCCCCTGCCTTTCAAAACAATGAAAGGAAGAAGGGGCATTCACCATTTATGTTGTGTGTGGCGGAATTTATTTGACTTA